ACCCACAGAAAGACAACGAGGGGAAATGACACAAACCAAAGAAGAAGAAGGATGTGACTGTGTAATGAATCCAAATAACATTCACCAAGCAACAGAGGAGAATTACCTTGAGAATACACCAAGGATATACCAGATGTGATAGTCCCCTCACAGATTTTGTTGTCCTTGTTTTGTTGTTTAATTGATGTGGTTTAGCTGTGTAGAGGGAGTATTCTGACTCAGAAGTTGTATCCAACATTTAGAGACCAAAGACATGCGTAGAATCAGACATACATACCAGTACAAAATAAAAATCCCTTTCACCTCACATCAGAGTGTGAGAGGGGGGAGTCACTCAAGCCACTGTGCTTTGGATAAGTGATACGCTCATCTGTTATTATGAGTGGCACTTTTCTCCTTCTGTGAAATGTATCAGATAACAGTGTGTTTTTGACATCATGTAAAAGAACCCATAATGCAATAAAAATTATTGTAAAAACAGAATTCTTGTTGTGGGGGATTTGTTTATGTTTCTTTCTCTGCTGCTGTCTTTTGGTAGGACGTCTGCTCTCATTCACTTGTCCCACAAAATGCAACATCACATTTTTACTTACTTTTTTACTTATGGTGCAATCTGGTATTATTTGTTACATTTAAGATGTTATTGGGACACAAAATATGAAACATAGGAAGATAGGCTAGTGAGAGAATTTGAGGAACCCACACACAGAAATTATTAGCTACAGTAATTAACACAATGGCCAGACCATCATGCACACCCACTTTGGCGGCTCTACCGCTTACTGTTCAGAAGGATCAGCAGCTGGTGATCTGGGTTATCGCACCATAACTCTGATTCTAACCTTAACATCAAAACCAAGTCTGAACCCGCAAACAGGCCTTTGAAGGTCTGTCTGAAGGTGAGGAAGGGTCAAAATGTCCTCACTCTCAGGGTCTAAAACTAAAATTGGTCGCCACAAAGATACACACACACTTACATACTACATATTTCTATTGCTATCTTATTCTGCAGGGGTCATGATGAATGGCAGGTGCCTTTCTCTAGTAGAGGGGACAAACATTTGGGACTTTCTCCATGTCTCTCTCCATTGCGCCAAAACATTCAAACAACATCTCTCTATGTGTGTTTCTCTACATCTCCACTGTGTCTAAATTTCACACTATATTCGAATAAAAAATGCAAGACCTTACAAATAAAGTTCCCTGTTTATATCACAGTAGAAATATGATGTTCATTTTTCCAGAGATGCTCTTGGTTTGTCCGTGTGTTTGCTAATAATCAATTATTTTTCAAATATCATTAGACCTTAGAGAGTTGGATTATACTTTTAGGAAAGTAACTGCAGCATCTGCTTCCAAAATACACAATTCAGTCCTTAGCCTACCGTACAATGTTAGATTCTTCAAGTCAAATCAAGGACAAACAGGTTAAACAAACAGCTTTTATCCAAAACAACAGCTGCACTGTGAGAATATGCATAAGTGCAATACAAGGGATCTGCGCAGCAGGCTAAATGCCCTGCATGTGTGTTTTGCAGTGTTTTGTAAGTGTAATATTTATTACTGTTTTACTTTTCCTCTTTATTTCATAGTTTGTTGTTGATTTCATAAGCTCCTTTGCTTTATTTGCACTGAGGAGGTTGCATTCAATGTTATTGAACAATGTACAAGGACAATAAAGACATACTATCTTCTATCTGTTCTATCAAAATATGCAGTATTACTGAGACTGAAAACCACCATTTCTTCTTCTACTGTAATCATTCAATAACCAAAATACTGTCATAATGTAAAATTGTTAATGGGATTCAGAAATAAATACAAACATTTGGGAAGGAACCCCACAAAAAGTTTGCATTATAAATGTAATTTCATAATAATGAGTTAATTGTTAATCTTTAACCCATATTATATTAGAAGATACTGCGCATATGTATTCTACATTTATTGAAATTAATTTATGTAATTTAAGAAATAAATAAGGGACATTGAGGCAGACCATCCAGGAGGAGGCAGTAATGAGACGTTCAGGATCACGTTAAGACTCCAACTGTCGTAAAACCGCAGAGGAAGACGGCAGTCTGACGTCATCACGCACAACGTGTAGCACTGAGGCAACATGGCTCTGAATGGAGGTATGTGAACTTAGGAGCATTTAGGCAAGCTAACTCTGACATTTCTCTTAGTCGCCTGTGCTGTTGATAATGGACTATTTCCTCGTACATTTAGGAGTTGGTTTTCGTGTGTTATTTTATTTTTACGTGGATTTGTCGTCACCACCGTGGAGATAAGCGTTAGCTGACGTTAGCCCGGTTGACTTGCTAGCTAGTTTATCATCATTTCCTAGCAGAGCACTGCGGCAAAACACGTTTTATAATATAACAACGGAAAAGGGTGGTAAACAAATATACTAATAAGTGTTAAAGTCTCGTAATAACTAAATAATAAAATGGGCAAAGTGCTAACATAGATACATGAACACGTTACAGAAGTGCTGGGGACTGTTTATATGTGTCATCACAGCTAAACTGAGTTTTAGAGGATAACTGTGCAGGGTAATGTTTGTGTAAGTGCAATACAGTTAAATTAAATGGGCACTCTGTTACTGACCCCAGATGACGAGGACTTTGAGTGGGAGCCTCCAACAGAGGCAGAGATGAAGGTGATCCAAGCTCGCAGGGAGCGACAAGACAAAATCAGCAAGCTGATGGGAGACTACCTGCTCAAAGGATACAAGATGCTGGGAGAGTCCTGTGACGTGTGTGGGGTGAGTTCAGTGGGCTTTTATGCTGGGGTTGCGGAAATATTATAGAAAGGAGGGTGTGGCTTAAGGTGTGTGTTGAAATATTTGTTTTGTGTTTCCAGACGATTCTTCTCCAGGACAAACAGCACAAAAACTACTGTGTCTCATGTCAGGAGCTGGACTCTGATGTTGACAAGGACAACCCAGGTAATATGCACACTCAAGTTTAATGCACATGGGTAATCAATAAACCAGCTGTCACATGAGCTGTCTCTCCTGTGTCCTCTGTTTCATCCTCACTCCTTGAGCCTTTTGTAAATGCTATTTGTGCTTGTCCCCATGTCTCCCTTCCCGTTAGCTCTGAATGCGCAGGCAGCATTATCCCAAGTGAGAGAGAGACAGCTTGCAGCCCAGTCCCCTGCACTGTCCCAGACCCCTGAACTCAACGGAGGCCCCAGCTCCAGTCAGGTGGGTGCATCAGTTCCTCAGCCCAGACCGGAGCACTGTGAGGGGGCTGCTGCAGGGGGAAGAGCTCTCCTGCCTCCGCCTGCTGTCCCTTCTACTCCACCTACTGCCCCCACCCCAGTTCTGCCACCTACCCGCCCCACAGTTAGTCCACAGAGCGCTGCCCTCCAACCTGTGTTGCATGAAGCTGAGGAAGCTGTTCTAACCAAACTTCGCTGGGCCACTAACCAGCTACAGAGTTCAGCCTCCCTGGAGTCAAGTATTCAGCTCTGCAGCCTCATCACCAGCTGTGCCAACTCGCTGCGCAGCCTCAAGGACCTCAGCCAGTGACCATCATGGAAAAGGTTACAACCCTAGATTAATGGGAATGCTGTTTCTACTTGCCTCTGTCCTGGAATACTGACTCTGGTTTGCTGCTTTGCAGCATCTGTCATAGACTGAATCCTCGCATAAAGCTGAATTCAAAACTGGTCAGGAAATGCACTTGAAATAGGATTAAAATGAAAAGTTTGCAAGTTGCTATTGAGTTAACATACATATATGGCTGCCGGAAATATGTTGCATTGTTTCATAATATGTTTAAGGACAAATATTTGAACCTTTGACAGTTTTTTGTCAGTTTGTAAGTTATGATGTAGTGATAAGAACGGAACATTTCTAAATGCACATTCATCATTGGTATGAATTTAAAAACACCTGCCCATTAAAACATTTAAAAATATGATTTGATCTACATTCTACAGTAAAAGACTGCTGATGTATTTAGCTGATTGGCATTGGTTAATCCAAAATGGCCACCACATTGACACATGGAAAAAAGAAAACATCCCTTCTCTGATTTGTTTTTGATTCATAATATCTAAAATGGTGCTGATTTGCAAATGACAAAATTCAAACAAAAGCTAAAACCCTATAGGTTTGCCTGCACAAGCAAGAGTGCCTGTGCTAAAATACAATATACTAGTCTGTAAGTTACCAGTTAAGATGTGGTCTGTTGGTATATTGTTAACACCAGTCCTCTGATCAGAGGTGCATTTTTCTATTTACTGTTCAGTCTGACATTCAGATGGATTTCTTTTGTCTCTGACTCTCCGTTGATGCAAAGATTGTCATTGTGTGCCAGCAGTTGTAAGGTTTTTATTGTAAATATATTTGATACATGATGGTGACGATGGTCATGTGATTCAGTGATGCTCAGATGAGAGGGGGGCAACATTCAGGAGTCAAACTCATAATTCTTTATTCGTTAAAACCATCTAGAGCAAATAAAGTTTGCACTGTCCATCGATAGGCAGCACTTCATGTTAGATAAAAGCAGCTTCAGTGTTGTCCAAGGCAGTTAGAGTTTTCTAATTATGCACCTGAATAAAGTTTTGCCTGTTCAGGAGTTCTGCAGTTTGTTTCTTTCCACAAGAGGGCGCCAAATGCAAGACGCAATATTAACGTTTTCAGTACCATTAAACATGTAAAGTGCATTTATGTTTACGAGTTGTTGCGTGCATTACATCTGCTGCCATTTTATGCATCTTTGTTTAAACATAAGTCGCCACTATTGTCAGGCATGTTTATTTATTTATTGTTTCTTTACTGTTGTTAAGTTATTCATCTTCCAGTCGAGCCAATCATGGCTTTGTTTAGGATGTCAGAGTGGTTTGGCTGTAAATGCATCTCAGCAGTGATCCAGATGAATCAAACAGCCACTGACAGCCTCCCTTTACCCCAGACTGTAGCGGGGCGTGGCGCGGTCACCGCCAGGCGGAGCCGGGGGCTGTCTGTGTCGGTGAACTCTACATAAAGGAGAGGAAACACAACAAAGCCAGGAAGCCTGACAAGTGGGAATTCACTCCTTCTCCTGCCTGCTCACATCCACAAAGCAGGGATGCACTGACTCACTGTTGCCTGTGAAAACCTGTTTCCAAGAGTCGCGACACCGCTGCTGCTGCTGCTGCTGCTGGAGAGAACAAAATAGCACCTCTGTGTGATGGTGAGACAGCATTAGACTGTATGCATATTTGAAGTGTGGCGTTGTGTCTCTTGTTGAATCAGCTGTGCAGCGTTAGGATGAACGGGAGTCGGTGCAGCGCGGCGGATTGTCCGGTGGGTTGTGTCTCGTCTGTGGAGGGGCTGCCGCCGCTGCCCAGAGGCCTGAGCGGCATCCTGAACTCCAGCGGCGGGTCGTGGCGGGACATCGAGAAGGTGCACAGCAAGAGAGCGCGCATCCAGGCCGACATCAGCTGGGGTGGCGGGGACGCGGTGCGCGGTCACGGCAAACCTGGAGGACTGGACGCTGCTCTGGCTCTGCTGCGAAAAGAGATGGTAAGGTGGCCTAAGAATATCCTGCCTTTATCTATATAACGGTATGTCTTAAAAGCATTAAAATTGCAATGTTCTGTTCAAGGAAAACCTAGGATTTCTGAGTTGGACAAAATAATCCACAAAAGACATATTAAAGTTTGGGTCATTGGATAAAGTTTGCTCAGTTGTCATGGTGATGGCTTTGCTTGAGATTAGATTATTCTGTCAAGCTACTTTTCAAGGTGAGAAATGAACTCCCACACTCAATGCCCTCCTTCTTTGGTGGCCATGAGCACATATGCTGTGTTTCTGTGCAACAGGTTGGTCTGCGTCAGCTCGACATGTCCCTGCTGTGCCAGCTGTGGTCCCTCCACGAGGCCATCCAGGAGTACAAGGGCTCCTCGCTTCTGTCTTCACTCAGTGCCGATAATGGATCCTCAGAGGAGGAGGAGGAGGATGAAGATGAGGAGGAGACAGGCATTCTGTCACAGTCCCCGCCTTCCTCGTCCTTGTCTCTGCCTCCACCCAGCAGCAACTCCAGGGACCAGTGGATTAAAGACTCCTTTCATATTCCCTGATGAGGATACTGTATATGCACACACACACACACACACGCTCTATGCACTATGTGTGTGCTGTTTTCTCTAAGTTAATGCCTTCATATTTACACAGGTTTTTATGCCATGCTTTTTTTGTCCAGATTGTTTTTCTGGCTGTGGTCCAACCAAATGACAGAAAATCAATTGCTGTGCAATACAGCTGGTGACTGGCTGTTCATTAGCTCCTAATCCTGCACTAATATAGTGTCAAATTTCCCACTGATTGTGTATCTGCAGCAAAAAGAAGGGCAAGTAATAGAGAAAAGAATCACGACAGACCAGTGAGATCACATGTTATCAGCTTTTTGCTCTTCATTGCATACTCCTCATGCGACTACATGCTGCTTGCTTGTCACTACATTTGAGCTGGGTGCAGTCGGTCTGGGAATTATCGTACAATCAGGTCTGATTCCACTTTTGATACATCTAATGTTAATGGATTCCTGATAATTCCAGACTTTGCAGGATCCCGTTCTGTAAATTCCTGAGACCCCAAAGTCCCAATGTCCTCAAACGAGTACTTTCTAATAACAGTGTCTTAGCTTGTTACTGTTGCTTAAATTGGTCAAATGTGTTGCCATGTCAAACAAGTTTCAATCATAACATTTGATCAGGTTTTGTATCATGACCACTTTTGTGTTGGGATCAGCTGCAGGCTGACTTGGCAGAGATGGCTGCCATCTTGTTTTTACATGGATGAGTGTATTGCACTCTTTCTACCACTAGATGGCACAAAAAGTGTCCATGAACGAGGACAACAGGTCTAAGTTAAGCTAGTCTGAGTGGGCAGAAGTTCGTTGCATAGATCAGTCTCTCATTGGGCGGAACGAGCCACCCGCTGAAGTCCCGCCCTACCACCTTCAGTTGTGTAGCAGTTTTCAACAGTTTTCAACAAATCCTTTACTAACTTTTGCAGTGTTTGATCTTGTGGGGATGTAGCCATTTTTCTGCCATGGTTCGCATCCTGTAGGCGATATTTTTGTGGGCGTGTTACACCAAAACCTGTTTCCCCCCGGCAATATTTTTGCAAGTGCACCGTTGCTGTGGCACTGCCCAAAACGATTGTGATTGGTTGAAAGAAATACAAGCAGCCGGGACGTTTTTTTCCTCCAATCTTAAAGTGAGAGTCGGCCCAGCCAGACCTTTCTTTTCTTGAGAAAGGTCTGGTGAGCGAGACTAAAGTTAAGCAGAATGAAGTATAATGTGCAGCAAACCCAGGATGTCCTTATATGAGGACACAGGGTCTCAGGACCATATCAGAGGTTTTTTTTTGCCATGTAGTGTCTTTGAAGATCAGACATGCTGTCAATCAATAATCTGTATTCTCTTTACAGTAATTCTGTGAGCATCTGACAGTATACTAATTTTTCTGACCCAGATTTGAGGAGGACTTATTTTGAGATTCATGTTTAGCTTGTCATTCTGTAAAACAGAGACATCTCTTAATCTCTGCAACCTGACATTTCCTATTGAATTACAAGCTACTAGTGTGCACAGTCACTTCTGTATCTCAGCTGCCTTCTAACCTTTACGGTTTACATTCTATGTGGTGGTGCTGCTCATAATCCTGATCTTTTTTTCAGTATTATCTGTAGATAGTGTTCAAATGAAGCCAAATCCATAATGCAATATTAATTTGTCACAGTGGATTTTCCAACTTTGAATCACTGCTTTTTTTAAGACCAAACTTTCATAACTGTGCAGCGCATACGACTATCAAACTCTGTGTTGAAGAAGTGAAGTGGTACAGTCTGCCCAGTGGACACAGTTAAATAGTCTTGGATTAAATCACTTATCTCACTACATGTACTATAGTTTTCTAGACAGTCATTACAGTGACTCATTTTGTATCTACATCTTAAAATAAAACCACAGTGCACACCACAGTCCTGTAAGTTGTATCTGTATTTGAATTAAAAGATACTCCCAGGATGATGTTGCAACATGTGACCAACAGGGGACACACTGTCTCCAGCTGAGAAAGAGGGAGCTCCTGCAGACCTGCCTCCTCTGAGCTCACACTGACAGCGACAGAGTGGGGAAAACCATTTGCTGTGGGGACGAAGGGGAGTGACGTCTGAGCAGACAGTCTCATGCTGTTCTCTATTTATAATCAACATATGTTGTGGTTATTGTTAGCGTCTGTGTGCCTGTCTGTCTCTCACAGGCTAAGTGACTGTTTCACTGTGTGTGTTCATCTCTTTATCACCATGCATGTCTTCTCACCTGTTAGTTATTTGTGTCTCTTCAGTTTTTCTCCTGTCTGTCTCTCTTTGTCTTTTTGTTGTCCATCTGTTAGCTATTGCTGTTATTGATACATCACATAGTTACTGTAAGTGCTGTTAGCGCACTACAGTGAGAGCTGGGAAGGACCATAAGGTTAACTTAAGTTGTCGACACTTTAAAGGAACAGTATCTTAAGTGAGGTTGTATGAGGTGGTTATCTGTAGACAGTATAATACCTACAGTAGATGATGGCCAGCACGCCCTGAGTTTGGAGAAGCAGACAGGAGTACCTCAATGGTAACTAAGCAAGGAACTCTACAGTTTAATTCCACCTAGGAAATATTACCAAAATTAAATCAGCTGTGTTTTTCCTGACCTAGAAAAGCTTATTCATGCTTTTGTATTCTCGCGCCTTGACTGCTGTAACACACTGTTTACGTGCCTCAGTAAATCGTCAGTAGCTTGGCTTCAATTCGTACAAAATACTGCAGCTTGTATTTTAACTGGGACAAATCATAAGTCACATATCACCCCAATTCTCGCCTCCCCCTGTTGGTTGCCAGTTTACTTCAGATTCTTTTAATAACTTTTAAAGCTCAACATGGTTTAGCCCCCAGTTATATAGCTGAGCTTCTGACTACCTGTGTTCCAAGTCGTGACCTGAGATCCTCAAGCCTACCGTCGCTAATCACTGATAATAAAGTCCCAATGTCCTCAAGCGAGTATGTCCTAATTAACAGTGTCTTAGCTTGTTACTGTTGCTAGTATCAGCCATAACATCAGATCAGGTTTCGTATCTTGTCCACTTTTGTATTGGGATCGGTTGCAGACTGACTTGGCAGCGATGGCGACCATCTTGTTTCTACATGGATTAGTATATTGTGCTTTTGCTACCGCTAGATGGCACAAAAAGTGTCCATGAACAAGGACAACAGGTCTAAGTTAAGCAGAATGAAGTGTAGTGTGCGGCAAACCCAGAATGTCTTCATATGAAGACGCAGGGTCCCAGGAGGATATCACAGAGTATTTTTTGCCATTTAGGGTGTACTCCGCCTCTCGCCCAATGGCAGCTGGGATAGGCTCCAGCCCCCCTGCAACTCTCAAGAGGGATAAGCGGTTAGAAAATGGATGGATGGATAGTGTCTTTGAAGAACAGTCAATAATCTGTATTCTCTTTATAGTAATTCTGTGAGCATCTGACACGGTACTATACTTGCCAGTCACCCCTGCATCGAGGGTGGTAACTAAAGGTGACCGGGCTCTTGTCATCAAGGTCTAGAAGCTCTGGAATTCTTTTCCTGACAGGATTAGGCTGGCTAGCTCATTACCTATTTTTAAATCATTGCTTAAAACATTTTTTTTAATTGCGAAGCTTTCCCTTTTAATGCCTGATTTGTAATTTCTTTCTTTCTTCTCTCCGTTTTATCTCCTTTTATTTTATTTTCTATCACTGTACACACTATTTTTTTCTCAGATCTTAACTTTTTTTTTTAACATTGCATTGTTATTGTCATCTTATTTTCATGCACTTTGTGAAGCACTTTGTAACCTTCTTTAGATAAGTGCTATACAAATAAAATTATTATTATTATTACGATTAATTTAACGCTATATTTAGAAAAATGTAAAAACTTTGCCGTGCTGTCAGGCAGCCCTTTCCAAAGGGGAACTGAAGAAGTTATATTGCTCTCTTTAAAGCAACCAGACTCCATTGGCAATAAACATAATTTTACCTCATTGAAAACTGGAGCTGCTGGTATACCACTGGCTTTGAAGACAGTGGTATAACTGCTTCAGTTCCCCATCGGAAAGGGCTGCTTCTCCATCATCTACTGCAGGTAACACTGACTATAGATAAGCACCTCATACAGCCCACTTCAAATCAATCTGAACTACTCTTTTAATGTTACAATACAAAGGTCTGTGTTAGATTACAATCATAAATATGCAGTTGTACAGTGTTCAGGTCTGTTTACAAGGAGGTATGCTGTATACAGGAAGCTATACATGCTGTATGTACCTGGAGTAATAACGCACCTCTGAATATTGGACCCACAGAGTAATATTAGACCAACTCTGAGTCATGAGAGAGTTGTTCCCCCTGCTGCTGCGCCGCACTCCTCCACCCCAGCTGCCTCTGTCCATCCATCCATCCATCCCTGTTCCCCCACCTAAAAATACACTCCTGCTCTCACTGAGGAAAATCCCTGTGCCTTGACCTAGCTTGAAAACACACACACATGCACACACTCGCACACACAGTGACTGGCCCTCTCCTTGGAAACTATTCCTCTCTAGTTAACTGGATGAAACACACATTTCTGGAAGCCGCTGGGTGACGCAACTGAAACTCAGGAAGTGACTTGAGTTCTAACTATGAGCTCAGTTTAAAAAAACAATGCGTTATATGTATTTCATGCTGAAGCACTGGGGCTTATATGAGAGCTTGCATGGTTATGCGGCTGCAGGAGACCTGGGTGTGCAGAGCTGATTAAGTGAAATGGTCAGATAAGCCTGTTCCAGTGACACAGACAGTCAGGATCAAAGTCTACAGGTATGGCTGAAGACTGTCACCTCAGTGGCTTCACACAGACCCAGCCAGATAAAGACCTTTGCATACTGCTGCATCACCAGTAGACTCTCTTTGCATATCCTGTCTCTCTCTCTCTCTGTCTCTGTCTCTGCCTGTCTGTCTGCTACAGGCAGTACAGTCAATGAAGGAAGGAGGGAGGGTGAACTCGAGGCAGGCAGACATATATTACAACAAGGCTTGACTAAGCGGTGTTGTCTTCATGTGGATCACTGCCGGACACAGAGAGACAAGTTGTCAATGAGGAGCTGCTGCAGTTGTTTGGTTGAAACTTTAGCTGGAGTTCATATCAGGCGGTTACAGGCTGAATGACAGCGAGCAGGGCGGAATCGGTTCCTCTTTGCTTCTGGTTTAATTCCCAGCTCTGTGCTCGGTACATGGCGACGTTTGTGAGTGTGATTCAACTTATTTCCAATGAGCGCAAGTCGCAGCTTGTGTGAAGTTCATCATCATCATCAGGCGCAGCAGCGGCAGGAGCAGCAGCAGAATAAGGAGAGGACCTTTTAAGGAGCTGAGTTGGATTATTGTTGCGCAGCAGAGGAGTTTTTCTTTCCCCAGTTGTAGTTTTATTTCCACCACCAGAGGAAGTTATGACTTCGGTATGGAAGAGACTGCAGCGAGTCGGTAAAAAGGCTTCAAAGTTTCAGTTTGTTGCCTCCTACCAGGAGCTGGTGTTGGAGTGTACAAAGAAATGGTGAGTTCAGAGATAAAGTTACACGTAGACTTTGCTGTCATGTCCCATATGAAGGTGTTTTCACTGTTTGACGTGTAAATAACTCCCTAACTGACCTGTTTAGTGTATTATTGGCGACTGTAAGACTCCATTGTGACCATGCTCATGTTGTGGGTCTTTTCCGCTACACAGAGGATGATGAGGGCGTCCCTCACGTACGCTGTGTAGAGGCTGTTCCGGAGTGATAGTGGGTTCGATCCCCAACCCCGCCTATCGACATGGTCTGTGTGTTACAGAGAGGCAGTAATAATCAGTAAACAGACAATCATTTTCTCTAGACTTCTATTATATTAGAATAATTTGATATTAAAATCAATATTTGTGTAAAGACATTATCTGTAAAAGACCATGCTTTATTGGCAGACATGTAGCCTAACTAATATGATACTGAACAATCTGCTTAGTATGGAAGCTCATATATGTCAGTGTGATAAAAAAAAGATCCTGTTGGTCATTTTACTGAAAAACTTTCTCAAAAATAATGACTCAGTATCTTAAATAGTGAGTTAGTGTCTCAAGATAATGTAGGTTGTCTCAAAATGATTAGAAATGATACTAAGTCATCATTTTGAGAAATTTTGTCGTTATCTGGAGACACTACATCACTATTTTTGACTAAAATAAGTCATAATTTTAAGAACGTTTCTCATTATTTTTGAGAAGGTTTCTTATTATTTGATACTAACTCATTAATTTATATACAAAGTCACTATTTTGAGATAAAAAAAGTAATCACTTAGAGAGTTTCTCATTTTTTTGAGACACTACGTTGCTATTTTTTAGATAAATGAGTCACCATTTTAAAAAAGTTTCCCATTATTTTGAAAATGTTTCTTAATATTTGATACTAACTCATCATTTTATATACAAAGTCACTATTTTGAGATAAGTCATCATTTTGAGAGTTTCTTATTATTTTGAGACACTACGGCACTATTTTTTAGATAAATGAGTCTCCATTTCAAGAAAGTTTCTCATTATTTTTGAGAAAGTTTCTTATCATTTGATACCAACTCATTATTTTTATATACGAAGTCACTATTTTGAGATAAATAAGTCTTTATGTCAAGAAAGTTTCTCATTATTTTGAGATGCTTAATCCCTATTTTGAGATAAATCAGACTTTATGTGGAGAAAGTCTCTCATTATTTTGAGAAAGTTTCTTATTATTTGATACTAACCTATTAATTTTATATCTAAAGTCACTATTTTGAGATAAACAAGTCGTTATGTCAAGAAAGTTTCTCATTATTCAGAGATGCTCAGTCATTATTTTGAGAAGTCACTATTTTGAGATGAATGAGTCATTATTTTAAGAAAGTTTTTCATTATTTTAAAATACTAAGTCATTATTTTGAGAACATTTCTTAATATTCTTAGATACTATGTCTTTTTTGAGATACAAAGTTTCTGTTTTTGAGATAAATGAGTCATTATTTTAAGAAAGTTTCTCGTTATTGTGAGATACTATGTCACAATTTCGAGATAAGTAACTATTTCAGGAAGTTTGTCTTTATTTTGAAATACTAACTTACCACTGTGAGAATGTTTCACATTAGTTTTAGATACTAAGCCTTTTTTTGAGATACTAAGTCACTATTTTGAGATAAATAAGTCATTATTTTAGGAAAGTTTCTCATTATTCAGAGGTACTAATTTATTATTTTTGAAAATGTTTTTCAATAGTTTGAGATACTATGTCCTTTTTGAGATAGTCATTATTTTAAGAAAGTCTCTAATAGTTTGAGATACTAAGTCACTATTCTGAGATAAATATGTCATTATTTCAAAACAGTTTCTCATTACAATGACTTAAAGGTTCTTTTTTTCTTCATCAGTCTGGCACAAATGGGCTTCCACAGTATAATCAGTGTCTTGCTGGTGTTTTATGATCATTGCCATTCCTTATTTAATTTGAAAATGTACACAAATGCAGGCAATCAGACCAAGTGCCTGTGTTGCATTTTAGATTCAGTTTTAAGTTCAATATTAATCATTTACCACTATAATTATAAGCACACCCACTCATCTCACTGTTATTTCATTTCAAAGATGCAGTCAGATTACTTTACAGCGCTCAAGCTCTGTAGGGCTTTCCCCTCTTGTGCAATTTCCTGTTGTACAAAACATTTGGGAGGCGGCCAGGTGATGCAGTGTGGAGCATTATTCTGCTCTGACACAACACTGACACAACACTGAACGGAAAAAATAAATAACAAGTTTTAGGGAGTCATATCTCCACCATTAAATCTTCCATTCTTGATTTCTTCTGGGCTCTATTCATCTTGGAAGTCTTCAACACATAACTTACAGTATTCTCTGACACGAGCACAGATGTTTCTTCAGTATCTTTAAACTTTTGCCTTCACCTTCTTATCTATCCAGGTTACATCAAAGTTTGGAATAATTGTGTAAGTGTCCTTACAGCAGCACGATAAGAAACACAGACTGAGGGCTCTTGTCAGTAAAGTTTCAGAGTTTGATCAGCAGCAGCGAGTTGTCTGGACACAGAGAAGGGAAGGGACAGAGTGATTTAGAAAGAGTGACAACTCCCACATGTGATGAAATCAGAGTTTATAAGCCTTTTACCACTGTACTGCTCAAACAGAGAGGTAAAAGTCAGGACTCACAGAGAGAAGGAGGACAGGAGGAAGTGAGGAAAGACTGGAGATAATCAGTCATATTACCTTAGGCATGTGTTGCTGTTGAAATGTAGTTCTCATGTGATTAAACTCTGTATTCGGGGTCAAAGGTTACTAACACTTAAAGATCACATCAAACATCAGAGGCAAGAAAACTTGGCCACAAGTGGGGTTGGAAATGTCTCAAAAGTTACGTGTATGTTTGCTTGAGTTTGTGGTGTGAGTCTAATTTAGAGCTATGATTTGAGACCCTTGGATTTCATAGAGACTGTCACCAACACAAATTTGTTACATGCACATGTTGAATTTGTATGAGATGATTGGCAACTGTAATTCCACTGTTAACATTGCAACTATAATGCTGTATTCCTAATGTATTGATTAAATATTTAAAGCTATAACCAATATATAATAACGTATCATATGACAGAATTTCAATATGTTATTTCCATGGCCTAGGAAAGTTCACGTATAAAGTCTGGAGCTGCTCCATAGACAATGAATGGGAGAATGTTTGTTGTCTTTTTTATATGTAAATGAGCTTTATTCTACTGTAATGTCTTCAAATCTGAAACAGAAAATGTACCTATACACTTAGAACATTCCCCTGGTTGCTCTCAGTGTTGTCTGCAACATCTTTCCCAATTCATTGCTCCAGACTTTACACCCTATGACATCACAAGTTTAAATTGTAGCCCTCTACTTTTGGATTTGGGAGAGAGGCGTTCAAGTTTACTCATATTTTTGGGCTGTCTTACATCCTAGGAATAATAACATGTATGAATTTTTATAAATGGATGTAGTTCCCTTTTATAACCCACTGCACATTACCTGCTCAGCACCAGACAGCAGACAGACAGAGTGTCGGTAGAGACCAAAAGCAGCTAAAAGAGAGAGAATATTGGACCTTTACATTCATCAGGTGGTCACAAACTCAACTCCAAATGAACAATAATGTTGTTCCATAACTGCTGGATGTGTATATAAGCAACTATTTGCTAAAAAGTTTGCCTTAGCAACCAACCTGTTTCCACTGTCAAAAAAAGACCTAGCTGCTGGAAGCACAATATATTCTCCATCATAACTGGATAAAGGAAATAAAAATACAGAGGGGCCAAAGATAAGATGGTGCGGCAGTTTGTACATGACAACAGTCAGAAAATAATTATGAGATGTTGACAGTATGGTGACACAGACATAATTAAGGACTTAGTAACAGGCTATATTTACAGTAACATGAGGAATGTTTAATGTGACACAAACATGACAAAGTTTCCCTGTCTGTATGGGATCAGCTCTGTTTTTACAGTAATATCACAAACACTAAATTCTGTTTAAATCTTCAGCATTTCAACATGCATGGGTGGCATGTTTCAGTTTAGTCTGCAGTGGAGTATAACCATTGTCTGCTGAGTGACAAAACACCAGCCACAGTTACAGTAATTACACGTTACTTAACCGAATCACACCCCTAATGCTGGCCTGTGTAAAACACATTGTTACTGAGCTCACTGGTTAAGAGGTGTGTTTGTGTCTTTGTGTTTGGGATCAGACTTTCTTGTTTTGTGTTTATGCTGTTCTTTTCTTCTTCCTCTTCTCTCCCCTGCGTTTCCCTCTCTCTGTGCCCGTCCGGCTATTTCTGATGCCACTCCTGACCCCCTAACACACATACCACATAAACAGATGTACACACACCCTCTTGGCTATACTTAAACACTGATACACTGCAACTTGAGACATTATGTTCAGTATCTATAAACTAATGATATTAATAACTTAAAGAACATGGTTGTAAAGCGTGAGGTTTGAAGCGTGCTTGTTATTATGCACCAGTATATGATTTAGGGTCTGTGTGTTCTCTTGTAAAGGGGGTTCCTATTTCCTGTGAAAAGGCACGCCTCACATTCACAGAGACTCAGGTCACGTGATTCCAGTTTCACTTCCTGTGGCGCAGAGGACCGAGAATACACAATGGAAACACACACTCATATATAAAAAGACATTCTTGAAGCCTAATTACAGATAAGCAGCTGCATGAATACACACACAGGCAGAACACACATTCATAGATTTATCAGTGTGATCACAGCCGTCTGCATTAACACTCACACCCAAGCGCACACACCTACACACACACATCAGTGCCTTGTATTTGACTCAGAGGCATTTTTATCCTGCTGTGTCTCACAAGACCTTCTATTAGATCTTATGTTGTCTCATTTGTTTAATATCCACTTTGTTTGGAGACATCATGGCATAATTCAAACATTTATTGTTCTGTAGAGTTACTTATGTTGATAAAATGGTTTTCAGACTCTGCAGACTTTTCCTTTAAAGTTGTGTCCTCTTTGCAGAAGAGCAGTTTGTGTCATCAGTAATATTGTCAAGTAACAGCACGCGGCGAGACGTCATTCTGTGTTTTGATCTGTGTTTTGTGTGTTTCTATAGGCAACCAGACAAGCTGAGGGTGGTGTGGACCAGGAGGAACAGGCGCATGTGCTCCAAGGTGAAACCACTGAAACACCTCAAACACACACACACACACACACACACACACTGTCTCAAATGGTGGAAAGTAACTAAGTACATTTATTCAAGTACAATTTGAGGTACTTCTTCTTATTTATACTTATTTTAAAGCTTTAGTTGCTTTTCACATTCAGAAGTCATCATCATCGGCCCCAAATCTCCTCTCAAGTCCACCCAAAACTTCTCCCTCTCCATCGAGGACTCCACTGTGCTCACCTCCCCCCATCTCCGTAACCTTGGTGTCATCTTGGATCAAACCCTCTCCTTTGACCAACATATCAAACACATCACCAAAACAACCTTCTTCCATCTTAGAAACATCACCCACCTCCGTCCATCCCAACTCTCAAGAAACTACAATATATCCATAATTCAGCTGCTCGTCTTCTCATTACCCCCATCCTTCATAACCTCCACTGGCTCCCCATCCCCCAGTGTATCCACCCCCCTAACTGTCTGAGCTCCTCCACCAGCACACTCCCTTCCACAATCTCAGGTCATTTACCTTTTTTATAACCATGCAATCGTGGTTTAATTCACAACAATGACAAACAATGCCAAGGCTCAGGGTAAACACTGTCGTCACCTGGCTGACTGTCACCAGTGAATGCAAGTCAGGGAGACATGCATGACGCTCAGCGGGGCACTCAGTGTGTGAATAATCATCTGGCTTTGACAAGGGGAATCAAAATGGGAGTGGCAAGGTCTCGTGCAGTCTTGCAGAATTGAAACTTGAATGTAAAATTAATATAAAATTGAAAATGACATTTTTACTGTATTTCCACACAGTGGTATTGCTACTTTTACTGAAGTAAAATATCTGAGTACTTCTTCCTCCTCTAACAGTCCCTCTAATGTTGTTTGTCGTGCAGCTCCACAGTTGGCAGCCTGGAATCAAGAACCCCTACAGGGGCATGGTGGTGTGGCCTGTTCCAGAGAACATCGACATCTCTGTTACACTCTTCAAGGTACCAAAGCCAGAATACACTGTTTACACTATACACTTGCAAACAGCTGAAATGAATGAGTGGAGAAAAGTAAACAAGCACCTTTCATACGGGGCGGGAAAAGTCACTGGAAGAGCGATGTTGCCCAGTTCAGAGTACTTTATTAATTCCAAAGGCAAACTGCAGCATTACAGCAGCCAATGAATCAGCGCAAATTTTATTGTTTGTTCTTGTGTCTTTAGGAGGCCACTGCCGAGGAGTTTGAGGACAAAGAGTGGACCTTTGTCATTGAGGGTGTAAGTATCTCTTGATTACTCCTCCTCTTCCCTTGAGTATTTAAATGGACATGATTCAAAATACTTAATCGTGTTTGTATTTGTTGGTCATGTATAGGAGAACAAGGGGCATCGTAAGGTGCTGGCGTCAGCAGACATCAACCTGAAGCGGTTTGCAAGTCCGACGCCAACCCAGACTGACCTGACGCTCCAGCTGAAGCCGCTGTCTGTCAAAGTGGTGGAAGCGACGCTCAAGCTGTCACTGTCCTGTGTCTTTGTTCGAGAGGGGAAAGCCACGTGAGTTATTTTGTTTCCTCTGCTGCTACTTACTAAATTAAAGTCACTAAGTTTTATATATATATATATGTATATATATATATATATTTACACTTGTTGCAAGTAATAAATGTAGCAACCACATTTTATACATATTATTTATTATAATGAGTGTTTCCTGTTTGTTTGGACATCATGACAGAATCACTAAGTGATGATGGTCTGATAAATACTCGCTCTTGTGTCTTTGTCCCTCAGTGATGAAGACATGCAGAGTCTGGCCAGCCTCATGAGCGTCAAACCCACAGATATTGGCAACCTGGACGACTTCAATGAGAGCGATGAAGAGGAGGACAAGAAGTCTGGCACTGCTACAGGTAGGCAGACTCACACAAACACTGCTTCTTCTCTCTGATCTTCACTGTGAAGTTTCCTCTGACATTACTTCCCCCTCTGCCTTCTTATTCCTCTCTTATTCCTGTGACTCCTTCTGCTTCACTCTTTTTCCTTTTCTGGCCGCGTCAGTCGTTCCACACACTCTAACCCGCCCGAATCGCCCTGCCCCCCCTCCACCTGACAAGCGAGACTCCGCTGGACCCACTTTCCCAGCCTCAGGTAGTTTCCTCTTGCCCTGTCTTTCACTCGCTGCTGCTGTTTGTTTCTCTTGCCAGAGAGGAGGAGGTGTGAGCAGGAGCTTTCTCCCCTCCTCTGTGTTATTGGGAGGCTCAGTTTATATAACAGTATCTCACACATTCATGCCATTTGTTCTGCATGCCACAAATTTCTCATCCAGACATTAAACAGGAATGAGAATCATGTGATTAAGCGGAGTATATTTGGAGACATGAAAAGCTTCAGCTGCAACATGGCACATAGAGGGTGTTGTGTTCAGAGAGACGTTACTATAACAAGTATTAAAAAAGTGTAACAGCACCACATATCACCGTGGTTGTGTCTTATTGTAGAATGAATGAAATTACATGTTCATCGTCCTTTCAGAGTGTTAATGCTGCATTTACTGTACATCTTTGTGGTGTATCTCTTAGATTGTACAACAGTAGCAGTGCAACAAAATGCTAATATTTAAAAAGAATACACAAAGAGAGCAGGAAATGCTAAAAAGAAAATGTACGGCCTAGTTATTGCAACATGCACCAGTGGTGGAAGAAGTATGCAGGTCATTTAGAAGTAGCTGTAAAACAATGCACAAAACATACTCTGTTGCAAGTAAAAGTCTTGCATTCAAAATTTTACTTTTGAAGTTAAAGTACATCAGTATTAATATTCAAACAATACGATATGATATGATACGATATGATACAATACGATACAATACGATACAGTATACTTTATTGTCCCCATAGAGAAATTTGTCTTGGACTCAGTAGCTGCACAAGTACTGCTGCCTTACAGTAATAGTCCATAAGAAATACACATTGTACTACTCAAGTATCAAAAATAAAACTACTCGTTACGCAGATTGTCCCTTTTTTCATACTGTTTAAGCTGCAAAAATCACCACTCTTTCCTAAAAGCCGAATTTTCATATTCTAGAATAAGCAATTATGTCCATAAACAAGGCAAATTAAGGCATGTGTCAGCACTATTCACTTATTAAAAGTTGATTTTAGAAAATTTTTAAAATTACTTAATTTGCATGAGAATAGGTTGACATATTTGTCCCTACATTTTCCCACTTTTATGCTAAAAAATTCTAAATTTTAGACTGTAACTACTTGATAAAAGGAGTTTCACTGATAATGATTCCTGCTGTAAAAACTGCGTACGTTTTGTATTCTGCAAAATATGCAAACCAACCAGTAAATATAGCTGTCAGATACATTAAGTAAAATATAACATACTCGGAAATGTGGGGTAGTAGAAGAATAAAGCAGTAGAAAATGGAAATACTCAAGTAAAATACATGTTCTTCAAAACTGCAGTGAAGTACAGTACTCAAGTAAATGTACTGATGTGCATGCATTTACACTTGAAATGTATTACAGGCTGCAAGTCAGATCGTCAACTGTCATTAACGCCTAATTGGAGTGGGGGAAAAAAATAAATCACGGTGCATTTCATTTTCATTCTATGTTCATGACCTCTTCCTTCTGTCTTTTTCATCATTTCTCTGTCTGCAAAAACCTACTTCCACTGATCCATCCGTTCATCCATTCATCCAGCCGGTGGGCGTGATGGCGTCAACTCCCGCCCTCCTCTACCTATTGCTCCTCGTCCCTCTCCCCGTCGCAGCCGACACCCCTTCACCACCGCCCCTGTGCAGTCAGAGATCCAACCTTCCCCCTCCCCTCAGCCCTCACCCAGATCCAAGCATAAAAAATCTGCCAACCCTCTTCTCCCTGAGGCTCCTGCTTCCTCTGACCTGTTACCTAAACCTCCGAGCTCCCAGTTTACAGCAGCTACTCCCTCAATCCAGAGTGCCCCTTCTGATGTATCTGCCAAATCCTCCAATGCTTCCCAAAACATTTCTCCTTCCCTTCCTCCTCCTCTGTCTCCCATATGCTCTGAATCTTTGCCCACTTCACCTGCAGCCTCAGAGGAGCCGTCTTTAGCAGCACCCTCTATTCCCCTGAATTCATCTTCAGATACCCCCTTTAAACTGCCCTCTAAGCCACCCAGTGCCCCTGAAACAGGCATCACCTCATTTCCACCCAAACCTCCCTCCCCTGCATTGTCATCACCCCAGGATATCATAACACCACCCTCTACGACTCCACAAAAGTCCTCCATCAGTGTATCCACCACTCTCACCCATAAGACCATCTCCACCGCCTCCCATCTTCCCCCATCCAAATCCTCCTCTCCCCTAAATCCCACCCTGTCCTCTGAGCCTCCATCCGCTCACCCTCCATTCACCCGGACTCTCTCTCAGCCACCCTCTCTGCCCAGAATCTTCCAGTCAGGCTCAGGAAAAGGTATCAGCAGGCTGGCTAGCAGACAGGCATGCTGCATGCTTTCCACTAACTGATTCCTTATGTGTGATGGTCCAGTTTGACCTCGTGTTTCACATGATTTAGAGTCATGCCTGTGTTATTTCATGGAGTCAGAAACAGCATACTAATTATGTACAGTATGATGTGTTTTGAGGAAGATCAGTTTGTCATGCTATCAGAGTTTAGATCAGAGTTTAAGGAACAGCTCAACCCCAGATCAAATCAGACTGGTGCTATTTATCAATGTAGATTGTTTTGGTGTGAGTTGCAGAGTGTTTGAGATATCAGCTGTAGAGATGTCTGCCTTTTCTTGAATATAATGGAATTAGATGACACTCGACTTCTGGTGCTTAAAGTGCCAAAAAAATACATTTGCAAAGCTCAACAGCAATGTCTCTTTCCTGAAATCATGACCTGATTACTCGAGATAATCCACAGACCTTGTTGTGAGCAGTTTCATGTAGGAACTACTTTTTTCTACCAATCTGCACCCACCAACGGAATCACTTTGCAGAAGGAAGTGCGCTTCTATTCATGGGAGAGGGGTGTGTGGTTGTGACAGGGTGAAATGTAAACATTAATGGCACCCCTGTGGCCTGAGATGTAACGCAGTCTAATAGCCTCTCATCCACGAGTAGATGCACGATTCCTTCTGTGCGGTGATACATTTGGCAGGATGAAACTGCTCACAACAAGATCTGTGGATTATCCTGAGTAACCAGGTCATGATTTCTGGAAAGAGACATTGCTGTTGAGTTTTTCTAATGTATTTTTAGCGCTTTGAGCACCACAAGCTAGTTCAGTTATATTTGAGAGAACTCAAATACTCGGCAACTCACTTGATTGATAAACAGCACTACAGGTGAGAGGAAAAATATGTATTTGATTCTGGACTGAACTTCCCCTTTAAACATCTTAATGTGTAGTCAGTGCTGCAGTGCCTCTGGCAACATGAACAAAGGAAAGTTTTGTGGCCACTTGAGTTGTGCTAATTTAGTATCAGCTTGTTTTTGTGTTAGTTTGTTTTTCCATATTTTGCCTTTTTACTTTTGAACTCGGTCAGATTGATGCTGCAGACCTGTTTGAGTGGTTTTACTGTCGCTGGAGTAGCTATTACAAAGTTCAAAGGCCAGTTAGTCCTCTGGGATTGCCACAGTTTTGAATCATGTTAATGAAATCCATGTTTCTTGTGAATTAAAACCTATCTACTCACACATCCAGGAGGCAGGGAAAACATTCAGTGAAGGTATATTTGAAGATTTAGATCATAGCATCAGGGAGGTGAATCTGATCCAAAAGCTTTAAATGTATCTACGCCCACCCTGTCACCTGTTAGCAATAATACGAATATTTCTAATAAACATAACCTTAGCATAGTCTAGCCAAAATTCATTATTCAAAATATCTATGACAATTATATGTACTTAAATAATACTAAAACATTGAAGATAAAACTGTGCTTAACTGCCTCTTACAAAACCCTTCTTTTTCTGTGAGAATGAATTACAGAACAACCTTTCTGGAAGTATTGAACATTAAGAAAATTAAATATTGAATTCAGATTCCTTAATGATATTGTAGTAATTGCATTTTGGTTTTACTCTGACACCACTAATCACTGTTGAGACTGCAGCAGACTCGTGTTTGTTCCTGACAGCTATAAATCACTTCTGTAATACAATAAGCAAAACGCATGATATAAAAAACATGCTGTTCCACTTTCACTCTTTGCCTTTCATTGACTTTACATCGGTTTCTCTTTATTCCTCTTTTGTTCATCACTCCTCTGTCTTCCCTCCTCTCATCTCCTCAGTTCCTGTTTCACATCAACGGCGCCCCCCAGAGGCTCAAACAGCAGATGCTCTGACTTCAGTTTCTGGTCTGTCTTTAGAATAAAGTTAGAGATGCAAATTTAAAAATCTCTTCATCTCATCTGTTTCCTTATCATGTCTTTTATCCTCTGTCCTCTCTGCCAGGCCGTTCTCACATTTTCAGACCTCAGCTTGTCAAGTCAATCGCCCGCCCCTCCTCTCCCTCTCCTTTTGCCGCTGATGCCCCCCCTCTTGAGTTGACACCTCCTCTCCCCAAATCTCTCCCCTCTATCTCAGAGTCTGATAACCAATGTGAAAAATATGGTAACTCTTCTTATTCTCTTGGTCATCTCTCACTATCATTTCACTTGCTCCTTTAAATGTGCTTCATCTGATCTCTCCTTTTTCCCTCTCCACCTCACCTTTCGCGTCCTTCCTCAGTGCTTCCTGCAGGTGCGCAGGGGGCGTGGTTGACATCTGGTAGTGACATCACTCCTGTCCCTCTGCTGAGCAGTCCCGACCTTGATGCCCTCTGTGACCCTGTGGCTCCAGCACTTACTGCTTCCCTTCCACGTTCCTCACCCCCTCGCTCCGCTTCTCTTTCCACCTCTGTTTTATTCTCCTCTCCTCACGCTAAACTCGCTGTTTCTCCCTCTGCACCTCCTGCTCTAATCAGCTCCTGTCAGTCAGGTACACTGATGTTTAAAAATGTGTAGTTTGTAGGTGGTTTTTAACAATTTAAACACACTACCCTTTCTTTCTCATAGTGCAAACTTCATAGTCTGTCTTCACTTTTGCTCTTCATAGGCTCGACGTTCCCCCAGGTAGACAAGGAAGCAACTCCGAGCCCTGTGAGCCGAGACAACTGTTCTCCTCATAACAACCAGGCAGGGGCCAACATCAGCGCAGCCAAGGATTCAAAGGCAGCCGTCACAGAAAACAAAGCTGAACCAGCAAGGATCAGGTGAGGTCATGGGATGGAATCACATGAGTGTTTAAATTTAGATTGCTTGGTTTGGATCCTCCTTGTGAAGAGAGAATGTGTCAGCCGACCACAGGGCTCAAGAGGCGTCATAAAGACTGGTGGCAGAAACATAGACACAGACTCAAGCAAAGAGAGCACATCTTTACACTTTGAGATGGGCTGCCTGCTTGAAATTGCATGACTGATTTAAAGAACAGTTTGGAAAAGATGCTTATTCGCTTTTTCATTAGTTAGATTAGAACGTCAATTCCGCTCTCATGTCCGTCTAGAAGCTATACAACCAGGAGAATGTTGGCTTAGCATAAGCATGGAAAACAGTGGGAAACAGCTAGCCTAGCTCTGTCCACAGGTAACAAATCCACCAACCAGCACCTCTAAAGCTCACTGATTAACATGATATATTTTGTTCATAGGTCCAGTGTGCAGGATTTAGGGGGATATATTGGCAGAAATGAAATTATAAGAAATAATAAGTATGTTTTCATAATCACTTGAAAATAAGAATTGTTGTGTTTTTGTTACCTTAGAATGAGCTGTTTATATCTACATAGGGAGTGGGTTCTTGTTTATGAAGACTACCGTGTTGCACTGCCATGTTTCTATAGTATCCCAGAACGGAAAAAAACAAACACTGGCTGTAGATGGGGCCATTCGCATTTTTGCGTTTTCATGTTGGCCACCGTAATTATCAGCCCCTCCACCACAAGAGGCATCAGAAAAACTGCTTTATTCACTGTTTTTACCGGTCTAAAACACCTGGTCCATTTATTTTGGAGAGGAAGAGACCTCTGCGGATAATTTGGCTTCCAGTAAAAACCTCCTGAACATCTGGATCAGAGAAAAAATGTGAGCACACAATAGCAGGTGCTGGACTGGTGGCCCAACTGTGGCGAGCTGTACAGTGTCAGAGAAACACTAATTTCTGAAACTGCTTTTTTCTGTGTTTTACTGGTTTTAATCACTAGGCCTTTTTGTTTTTGAGAGGAAGAGACCTCTGTAGATAATTACGTTCAAAAACTCCTGAACAATGAACACTGAGGGAATCCTAACCATGAGAAGTTTCATCTGGTTATAATCTGTAATCAACACTAGTAGATACCACTAAATCCCCCTAAATCTTACACACATCTCATCTAATCTGTACAACAAATTATAGGAAGTGCATCCAGCCAAGAAACAGTCTTGCACATAACCACACAAAACAATATTATATGCCGCTGTTATTAGTGAGTCTTTATGCTAAGCTAAGCGAACTGACTGCTGGTGGTGGTAGCAGTTATCAATCTGTTATCAATCTTCTCATCTAACTTTCAGAATGAAAGTGAATAAATGTGTTTCCCAAACTGTCAAACTATACCTTTAAGTTGCAGAAATGTACAGTATTTAACTCAGCATACTCCAAACTGTTGATGTTACAGCTGTTTGGACATCAGTGTATCTGTGAAGGTGTTTCAGAGTGCATCATAGACAGTTTTTCAATCCAATCCTGTTTTTCTTTTCTTTTACATTTTAGAGTTTGCATAACAGAGAACGCAGCAATTTGCAGTAACATAATAAGCAGTTAATCAGTCATTTAAATCCTTTGAAGCAACAACATTAAGCTGCTAAAAAGTACAAATCACAGACTGTGCATAACTCTTAATATACCAAAAACCTACAAAAAACAAGCCAAAAATTATAAAAACACCCCAACTTGACCCATCTGAGTGCTAACTGAGACAAACCTGCTTCAGCTTGTTGACACATGTGTTGAGTAACACTTCATCCAAGTGTGTTGATCAAGAGATTTGCTGAACTCTTGCTCAAGGCCTCACGGTTGCTTTGTGCTTGGTGTTCCCTGATGCTAATATGTGCTAACAGTTGTGTTAGCACATATTTGAGAGTATTTTGTACCCTGCATCCTGTTGCACTGACCCTCCACTACACAGCAGCTAGGTCTGTAGTCTGCACTGTGACCTGCCTGTTTCCACCCCTAATCACCTCCTGGCTCCTGCACGCTCAGCCTTGTGAAGCCTCACCCACTCACCTCTCGAGTCTGACCTCCAATATTTCTGTCCCCAGTCCTGCCCAGTCACGCTCAGAGCTGATAGTAGCCCCGCCCCCTCCGTGGCCCTTCTCCTGTGAGAGCTCCACCCCTCAGCAGCCCTCCACCAATGTTGTGGCGGCGTTTATCACTCCTAAACAGCCAGTCGCTCAGATGGAAGTTGATTTGATAAAGCCGACCAATGAGTCGAGTCTTATTTGCGCCTTTAAGGCCGAAAAGCCGCCACTGGCAAAGCCTGAGCCTGAGCCTGACTTTGATGACATCATCTTTGAGTCATTAAACCAGAGAGGAGAATCAGGGGGCTTATTTGTGGATGAGGATGACTCTAAGCGGGATACTATCAAAAGGTGTCCTCCAGGGTGAGTATTTGTATTTGCAGATAAAATCAAGATCCAGAATATAAAATAAAAGGTGTCAAAATTTGAAGTGATGGTGCTGATGATAAACATACACACACACACACATATTTAGGATTAAGGAATATTGTTTATCTGTTCTGCAGTCTTGAACAGAAAACCAATGAAAAGGCCGGTGGAGAAAAGCCGTCGCTGACAGAGCAGTTAGAAGGAGCAGCGGCAGAGAAGGAGGTGATGATGAAGGCAGAGCAGGAAAAACAGAGGAAAAAGGAGGAGGAAAGGAGGAGGAAGGAGGAAGAGCAAAAAGTGATGCTCCAGAAGCAGGAACAGATGAGAAAACATGAGGAAGAGAGGAAGAGACTGTTAGAGGAGGAGAAGAAGAGGCTCTTGAAAGAGGAGGAGAAGGCCAAGAAGGAGAATGAGAGAAGGAAATCCGAGGAGGAGAGACTCTTGAAGGAGAGGAGGGACAAACAGGAGAAGCTGAGAGAGGAAGAGGAGAAGAGGAAGCGGGATGAGGAGGAGAGGAGGAAGAAAGAGCAGCAGAGGAGACTCCTGGAGGCCAAGGAGGAAAAGGAAAAACTAAGAAGGGAGGAAGAGAGGAGACTTGAGAGAGAGAAATTCTTGAGGAAAATGAAAGAGGAGGAGGAGAAAAGGATGGAGGAGAAGAGACTGTTTGAGGAGCAAAGAAGGAAGAGGGAGGAAGAGCAAAAGAGGCTCCTGGAGGAGGAAGACAGGAGAAAGGCGGAAGAGAAACGCTTGAAGGAAGAAAAAGAGAAGGAGCAACAGGAAATGAAAGGGGAGGAAGAGAGGAGAAGGAGGGAGGAAGAGGAGAAGAAACATTTTCAGGCAGAGGAGAGGAAGAAAAATGAGGCAGAGAAAGAGAGGAAGAGGAAGGAGGAGGAGGAGAGGAGGAAAGAGGAAGAAAGAAAGATAAAGGTGGCAGAGGAGGAGAGGAAGAAGAGGGAGGAGGAGAGGAGAGTCAAAGAGGCAGAGGAGAGAAGAAAGAAGGAAGAGGAAGAAAAGGCGAGAGTACTCAAAGAGGAGAAGGAGAGGGAGGAGAGGAGGAGAAAAGCAGAGGAGAAAAGAGTTGAAGAGGAGGAGGAGAGGAGGAAAGAGAAACTCTTGAAGGAGCAAAAAGAAAAGGAGGAGGAAGACAGGAAAAAGAAGGAGGAGGAGGAACAGAAGAAGAAACTTCTACAAGAGAAAGATGAGATGGAAAGAAGAAAGAAGAGAGAGGAGGAGGAAGACAAGAGGAGGAAGGAGGAGCGAGCAGCTCCGGTCTGCCGTCTGGAGGACAACAAGTCAGATGAGGACAAGCAGAAGATGAAAACTCGGGTTTCTCTTTCATCTTTGCCACCACTTCCTGCTCCCCACCTCCCTCCTCCGGACAAAACCAGCGTTACATCCGAACAGCTGCCCTCACAAATTCTCAGCCAATCACAAGACAGAAAGACGACGCCTCAGTCGGTCAATAAACCGAGCTCTGCCTCCAGTGAGCGGTGAGTTACACCACTGAAATAAAAGAGATGATTTCACTGTGGGTGTTGATTTTTTTTTTCTCTAAAATGGCTGACATATGCTTTCTTAATCAACACATATAGGCTAATCAATCAATCAATCACTTTAAATTCTGTTGATTTAAAGATCAGTGTGTGTTTTTCACTCTGTATTTCCACACTAAAGGCATGGAGTTGGGCTGAATCACTCAACATTTCTATTCATGACATAGGGGTGTATTGATACTACTAATACTTGTATAAGTCTTGGTTCGGGTATTAATGCAACATTGATGCAAAAACAAAATCAATTTTGGGCTCACGCGTGCTGCACTCTGCCTCTCTGCTGCTGCTGTGTGTGCACGCATGTGTTCAGACAGAGATGCAACATTAGTTATACCATTTAAAGCTGTCTTGCATTTTAACACTAACTCCAATTAGTTTATAACGTATAATGATGGGGATGAGGGTCGAGGGATATTGGAAAAACGAATTAGGGTCATGGGATGGAGGGATGAGGGGATGTAGGGACAGGGAAGGAAGGAAGATGGGGGGAATGATGGGAGAAATTAGGGTCGCAGACAGGAGGAGGGTGGAATCTGATGGCGGTCTGGTGTTGGCTGAAGGGAGGAGGGCGCAGGGAAGTTGAGATAGAGTGCGGGAGTCGTCTCGTTGCCTGCTCTACTATGGATAGAGCCCCCTAATGATTACTGTATTTTGTGGAGAAAGAAAGAAAAAAGGGAGAAATAACAACAAAAATAAAAACAAAGAAAAGGGGAACTTGCGGGGGGATGGATGTGAGAACGGAGTCAAAGGGGAGTGAAAGTGCAGACATGGATGGGAAATAGGCGTGGTCTTTGTTCCTCACCTCATAAATCATGACACATTTAAGCTGTGTCTAATAATAAAAAGTATTAATATCATGATCCTGGCCATGGTTTTACCTGGTTTCAGATTTTGTGGTATAACTAAGCCCTGCTATTGGTTTTTGCTGTTCTCGTCATTGTATGGCTTTCCTCCTCCCCTTTTCTTCTTTCTACCTGATATTCTTCCACCTGCCCTCTCTCCTTTTTTTTCATTTTCATTTTTCTCTCCCCTTATTCCAGTCTGGAACAAGCCTCTCTCTTAAAGGAAGGTTCATTGTCAAACATTGTTGTCCCGCAAAAGAAAGTATCTGCCACATGTACTCCACCTGGCATCCGATCAGGCCCCACTGTTCAGGATAGACCATTCGCATTAGAGGTGTTGACCCTGGTGCCACCTCCACAGAGGCTGTCTGAGGCTCCTCTCTGGGAAGCGCTAGAAGGGAGAAGTGGGAGAGATACACCTGAAAAAATCTCTGCCGAGGAGCGTGCAAAACCTTTGTGCAGAGGGTAAGATTGGATGAGGGGGCGTCTGTCTGCTTTTCTTTCTGGTCATTTGTGTGTGCGCCTGCTTGCTGATGGTCTGGCTTCTGGATGATGTAGTTGGTAGCAAATGTAAAACTGTAATGGCGGTATTGTTCATGTGTTGTTTTCCCTTTCTTGTAGCTCACACAGAGAAGATGCTGCTGAGGTGGACAGCACTGTCAGGCAAACAAAAAACTCAGAAACACATCATATAGTACCATCTCCTCCTGAACCCTGCGCACCATCAGTTAAAGAGGAGCCCAAAGAGCCAGAGGGACCCTGCATGGAGCCTGCAACATCACCCAAGGTTTCCCCCAAACCAACCATTGAGCGCTCGGCTTTGGCGCTTGAACCACTGCTTCCCTCAAAACCAGAACCAGGATTGTGGCCGGAACCAGTTCTCCAGCCATCAGGAAAACCACAACAGGGGGGAGCAGATGAGGAGAAACCAGTCGAGGTCATGGCTGGTGGTCAGGAGAGATCCATCAACAATAAGGAGCCAGTGTGTGAGGCAGAAAAGCAGCTGTGGGCGACGGTGGAGGAGACCACAGTGGAGACAGGAGCGGAAAGAGGGACGGAAAGTAGTGAGAGCGCTGAAGAGAAGGATAAGAAGCAGGAGGAGGGTGGTGTAACAGGGGGGTGAGTCAGTGATGGTTCCTTTGCAGCATGGCAGTCTGCTTTTCTGCATAAACCACCACGTCCAAACACTCAGTCTCACACACCTGCACATGTCCCGACTAACGTTTCTCTGTGGCGCTGCAGCTTCACCAGTGCTTAGTCGCAATTAACCTCATCCGATGCTGTTGTCTTAATCTCAACCTCTGTCTATGCTGTTAGGGTGGTTATTTCAATGGACATTATTTGATGAGAGCTTTTCATAAGAGAAAAATGTGTGCATTTGTGTGTGTTTGTCTGTGTGGCAGTGCCCAGAAATATGCACACACAGAGGCAGATGTGTGTGTTACAGAGCAGCAGGAGGCGCCTGCTGGCTTCATGTCAGCAGTAGCTGGGTTGTTGTATAGAGGGTGAGTCTCTGCCTGCCCGTGAAAAAGTTTTGGTAGACCAAGCTTAAATACAGCCAAATATGTTGCCAGTAACGACTAACAATTAGGTAACTTTTAGATAATTAAATAACTTGTCAAATACAGTAAAATATTCCTTGAAGTGCACAAAACAGGTGCAGTGAAAACAACAAAAAAGCATTATTATTTCATCAAGCACGACCTGAAAAGAGGGATTAAACCATACATAATTGTCTGAAGTAGTATAATAATAAAAAGTTTAGACTTAAAAGGTGATTACATTTTTAACTTACAGTCATTATTATATTAGAGGTTATCTTTTTAAAAGATAAACAATATGCCCTTCAATGGGTTATCCATTATTTTGTCACATTATAGGAGCTGTATGTGACATTCAGAGCATTAATAAGGCATTAAACCACTAATGGTGTTATGCTTCCTCTGTGTGTCTTGTAATCTGAGCTTCTCTGTTCTTTGTTGTAGTCACATGTGTACATGAGTCCCTTTGAGTGTATCACACTGGCTAGCTCATCACTTTTGCTCTGCACTGCGCTCAAATGGTGGTTACTGCTTATATCAGGACCCATGTAGCCAAAATGACCTGGCCCAGAATCTGCCTGAACTCAGCATGCCGGATGAAATTAGCTGGGCCGGCTCCAGTTGCCCAATTCGGCTGAGACTCACTATGATTGTCACCCCAGAATCAAGGCAAATCAGCTAGCCCAATTCCGGCTGCCCACACTGCTATCACTGGGCCATTATCAGAAATGACCTGGCCCAGCATCAGTCCAAACTCAACATGCTGGATGAAATTGGCTGGGCCGGGTCCAGTTGCCCAATTCAGCTGAGACTCAGCATGAATAACGCCCCAGAATCAGGCCAAATCAGCTGGCCTGATTCCAGCTGCGGACACTGCCATCATAAGGCCGTTATCAGAAATGACCTGGCCTAGCATCGGCCTGAACTCGGCATGCCAGATTAAATTAGCCGGGCTGCATCAGGTGGCTTGACTCGGCTGAGAACCGGAATGAATGATGCCTTAGATGAGGCGGATTCCAGCTGTTGACACTGCCTTCCCTGGGGATGCCATCGTTGCAGAAATGAGCGCCCACTTTCCAGTTCCCCCTAGGTTAACAGCTCTGTCAGCACTGTTGCCAATGTTTGCATTATTTATAGAGTTAGCACCATTAGCTGCTAGCCACCAGCACATCTGCCTCCATGTTGAGAACTGGGTGCAGACAATCCCAACCTGTTCTCTGAATCATAGATTTGCTCTGAATGTTGCATGCAGATCCTTTAACACATTTTTTTAATCTATTGAAAGAGACACTTTATCACATTGAGATGAGTTATTACTTTATCTCCATGGCAGTTATGCTAGTATGGGTTGCTTGCTATATTTACAATTACACTATAGGCTCCATGGGTGTGTAGTTTTGTGTTTAATGTCTATACTACTGATAAAACCTGTATCTAAAACCACCATTTATGACCTGGAGTACACTATGCTTATGGTCCCAGTGGTTGATCTACCATTGTTTTGGTTATTTGGTTATAATCCACAGTGAGCTGGTCTACATAAGATGCTGTTGATTTATTACATTTTATCTTTCTCTGAGCTGCATGGCACCAGAAAGTATTTCTTTCACCTGTTCTTAGTCATGCCAGAGGTGATTTAAATGCCAGTGGGCTTCACTTTGTTGTGCACTATAGGTTTGTAAAAAACTGTAGGGTGTAGTGTTTTCAATGCAACCAACAAAATATGTTGCTTTTGTGTGCTTTGGACAAGCACCAAAACAAAGTCTGTGAAAAAGGAACTACTTAATCAAGCATGCTGTTTGGCTTTCTGTCACGCTGTCCACAGTCTGCTGAGGTCATTCTAGGGTGAGATCTGTCTCAGAGATTCCCTGTCCCCTCATGTCTGTCCCTCTAGCTACGAAACACTGGCTTCCATCCTGCAGACTACTGGACCCGCCGATGCAGGTCCTCCACAGTGCTCTGCAGACCAACCGGGCCTCCTCATAAGGAATGAAGATCCATCTTTACATGAAGTACATGCAGAGACTTTGCCTTCTTCTGAGCCAGATGATGAGACACTGGTTCGCATTTCTCCACCCACGGCCTTCTCTGACACAACAGAAAACCAGATGATCAGTGAACAGACTAGATTAGCTCAGAAGCCTTCACACGGGCTGAGTCTGGTGGCGAGTCTGAGACTGGCAGCCAGTGAGCATGAGAAGGAGAGGGAGCAGCAGAGGGAGAGAAGGGAGAAGGAAAGGATAGAAAACATGAAGAGGGAGGAACGAGAGAGGGCGGAGAGAGAAGAGGCAGAGAGAAAAGAGAGAGAGAGGGTGGAAAAAGAAAAGGAGCAGAGACAGAGGTTGGAAAAGGAGAGAGAAGAGATGGAGAGAAAGAGGATGGAGAGGGAAAAGGAGGAGGCGAGAAAGAGGCTGGAAAAGGAGAAGGAAGAGATGGAGAGAAAAAGGATAGAGAGGGAAAAGGACGAGGTGAGAATGAGGCTAGAAAAGGAGAGAGAAGAGATGGAGAGGATAAGGATGGAGAGGGAAAAGGAGGAGGCGAGAAAGAGGCTAGAAAAGGAAGAGATGGAGAGAAAAAGGATAGAGAGGGAAAAGGAGGAGGCGAGAAAGAGGCTAGAAAAGGAGAGAGATGAGATGGAGAGGATAAGGATGGAGAGGGAAAAGGAAGAGGCAAGGAAGAGGCTGGAAAAGGAGAAAGAAAGAGAGGAGAGGGACAAGGAGGAGGCAAGGAAGAGGATGGAAAGGGAAAAGGAAGAGATGGAGAGAAAGAGGATGGAGAGGGAAAAGGAGGAGGAGAGACAGAGGCTGGAAAAGGAGAAAGAAGAGATGGAGAGAAAGAGGATGGAGAGGGAAAATATGGAAAGGAAAAGGATGGAGAGGGAAAAGGAGGAGGCGAGAAAGAGGCTGGAAAAGGAAGAGATGGAGAGATTAAGGATAGAGAGGGAAAAGGAGGAGAAGAGAAAGAGGCTGGAAAAAGAGATGGAAAGGGAGGAGAAGAGGAGGGAAGAGGAGGATAGAGTGAGGCAAAGGGAAGAGGAGAGCAAAGGAGAGAAACCACAACTGAAACAAAAGATTATTTCTGGCTCTACGTCACTGCAAAAGAAACAGGAAGTCATGAACAGCCAATCAAATGACTGGCCTCCTCTGAGGGAAGCAGAGTTGGATGATATTGCATATGATGAGAGGCTGCAGGGTGATGAAGAGCTGCCAGAGAGCAAGTCCAAATCAGTGAAAATGAATACTGAAGTCAAACTGGTTTCAACCAGACCTGCTGATTCTGTTCCTGCAGCCAAACCAACAAGCAAACTCGACTCCAGATCAGTCAAACCCGAGGACTCTGTAACTGCTGTAAAGAAAGCCCTGGAAAACCCTGCTCTGAGATCAGATGAAAAAGGCAAATCCAACCTGAAGTCTGATTCCATCCCAGTGTGGTTGAGAGAGGAGGAGGAGGATGAGGAGGTGGAGTATGAGAGAGGACAGGAAGATCTTGGCTCAGTTTGGCTGGCTGAGCTGTACATGGAGGGGGAAGCAGGGTGAGTAAGGGTGGGTGAGAGGGATAAATAGCAGCAGGGAGAGGGAGGTGAGTAACCGGGAAAGAGCTGGCTATATGAGAGACATCTGCTTGTTGCCTCTTGTGGATCACAGGACTGTGCGTGTGCGTTTGTGGTGTACGCTTCCTCCAATAACTGAGGCTTTGACTCACTGTATCTGCAGGGAAATAATAATTACTAGGCATAACTATCCTTCATTTACTGAGGGTTTGGCCTTTTCTGCAGGTCTTTTTCATGAAAGAGTTCTGTGTGTTTGCATGTGAGTCATGTATGTGTCCCCTCAAACAACATAATTACTGTGTTGTTTGTGAAGGAGACTGCAATTTCCTCTCTATGCTCTTTATGTCTTGCCTGAGGGGGGTGGGGAGACAAAGATACTGCATCAGTTGGAAGAGACATTATGTTGTTAGTATAATAGGACAACACAATTAAGGTACTTTAAACCCCTCAGCACAAAGTTTGCTTCAAATGCTGTACATCAACACAATCTTATTCCCAACCCTTTAAATACAAGCACTTGGTCAGTGGCCCTACTTTTCACAATATGATGCAGTTTTCCCTTGTTACATACATTATAAAATAAACTTAGAATAAAGGTTAAACACTTCATTTAAGGTTTTCACTCTCTTAGGTTTAGGCAACAAAAGTGCATGGTTAGCTTTTAGCTTTAGAAAAAACACCAAGGTTTGACATAAGATAAGTACATTTGTTACCAACATAATGTAACGTCACGTGACATACTTCACATATGTCACGGAACATAAGTCATTAGCGTAGTATGCTGCACATACTAGCACAATACGTTGTTAAAATAACCCGATTGCCTTTTGTTTTCACTCAGGACACACATAGCAGGCTCCCGTGTGAAAGTCTGAGTTTGTTTGACCTACCCACCCTATGCAGACTTTCTCACTCTGTGTATACTGCTGCTAAAGCATCTGACCCCAAGGGCCACTGAGGGGGTACTTGATGGGAGTAGGACTGAGTTGTGTACGTGACTTTTTCTCGTCATAATTCACAAATATGAACATAAAGACATGATAAACATTTTTAAGACAGACAGTGTGACTTAAACTTTCCAGAGATACCATAATCTAAATGATTAATGTCATAAATGGCAAATGTACTTGCAAAGCGCCTTTCTAGGCCTCTGTCCACTCAAAGATCTTTTACGCTACTCTTCACATTCACCCATTCACACACATTCACATGCTGGTGGCCGAGGCTAATGTACAAAGGTGCCACCTGCTCATCAGTTACATATTCACACACACTTGCAGTTTGGGGTTTCAGTATTTTGCCCAAGGATATTCAACATGCAGACCAGAGGAGCTGGGGATTGAACCAACAACTTTCTGATTAGTGGATAACCTGTTCTGACTCCTGAGCCATAGCCATTGGAGCAAAGACACTCATTTAAACTGCAGAACTTGCCTGAGATTCGTCACGTTTTAAAGTTTTCTTCAGTATCAGAATAATCCAAAGATAGTTGTTTGTATATCTATGAGTAAATTGGAAACAGGAACTGCCAAGCTAATTCAGCACACATTTAATGGTGCCAATTTGCCTAAATGTAAACAAACGATACAGCCGAAACAGCTCACTTCCTGTTTACATCCCCCAAAGCATTATGGGGTTAAGAGGGGTTCAGTTGTCTCAATCATGTCTGGGGGGAGGCCCATGGAGTCAGACTTTGAAAACTCCTGACTTGCAGCATTGTCATCAGTTTATCAAAACTACTTTTATGAGAGGATTCAAATCACAACTGCTTAAGGGAAGTCCCGAAGGGAAAGTACAGCCTACAGCCTATCTAACTAAGGCCCCCTGTGACTCTGTCTGGATTGCTGTTGTGGTCAATTGCACTTGGAGAAGAAAGAATTTGGTCATCTGCATCCTCTTTTTGTTTCTGTCCATAATTGTCACTGCCTACATGGGTGACATCAAGGAATATTACCAGGCTCCTTGCAGCTTAGTTGCATGGCAAGTTGCACTGGCAAATGGATCGGTAGGGTTGCTGGATATTGCAGTTCAGTGTTGAATTGGTATTTCGCTTTTGTTGAGTCGCATATTTTTATGCATTCAACATGTTCAGTTTAGTATAATCTCGTGTAGCCAGACCTCTGTCCCATCAAACTTGTGGAATTTTGAGGAAAATCTTTCCCAACGGTGACATTAGCTAGAGAGTCCCTCTTTAACAAACACCACGCTCTGCCAGCAATTTACTCTTAATTGGTTTAAAGTATGGTGACAGCCGACTGTGTCTTTTCTAAACAATTCTTGTGCTGGAATTTCCTTTGTGACATTAACAAGATGGAGCTCTGGCTGCGTGAGATGACTAGCTGTGTGTTGCCAGAGGGGAATGGAGCATGAAAAGGATCTGCTGCTGGTCCTTTTTGCAAAAGCACTTGAGCCCTTAGGTTCAGCTCTGAAATCTCTCATCTTTCTGTCTTCAGCCCAAGCCACCAGTCCCTTGCTGTTACCCAGATGCCCTCCTCACTTCCATCCAGTGGACAAACCTTTTACCAGAGCGCTGCTGCCAGTCAGCCAAATAAACCTGAACACACCCTAACCAGTCTGGCAGACCGTCCTCATACTAAACCTCCATCAGGGTCTAAGCAAGAGGAAGGAATCAGTCAGACAACTAGTGTCAAACCTGCTCCCAAATATAGTGGAGCTCAAAAACAGCCAATGAAAGGACAGAGAGATGACACAAAAACTGGTCACAGCCTCGAGGTAGTAACCAATGAGGAGGGAGAACTTGTTCAGTCATCTGTGGTGCCTTGGCCACTTCCTCTAAGCACAAACACTGCCAGCATACACTCACACACCAAGACACACACTGATACAAACATCAGTAAGATAAACGATGATACAAACATTACAGAAATAGCTGCGGAGTCACACAAGAGTCTTGAGATGAGAGATGATAAAGACAGAAGCCAGCCCAGTTTAAACAAGGACACACACACCACAAAGAGTGACAGTCCACAAATTGGCCTTCACACACAAACACACACGCCTGACCTTAACCATCGCACCATAGAGCAACAGCTCCAAGAGGAAGAGAGGTTGTTATTGGCTAAAATCCACCTGATGACAGGTGACACATCCCCTGTCTCCAGCCCTCGGAGTATGAAGCTCCTCATCCCCGACCCCCGTGAAATTGACTGCGACCCCACAGAGCTTGTAGATCACAGACAGGAATGGATCATTCCACAATGTGATAGCCTGCAGGAAATATCACTAATTGAGTCGGAAGAGCCACTGACCAGTGAGCTGAGGGGAAATCAAGGAGGAGAGGAGGATGTGTAAGTCAGCATGGGCCGACAACCTGTGCTGCTCTAGAAAATGACATGCCATTTAAGCCTTGTGTTTGGTTGGGGACGTGATATGCAGAGCTGTAGGACTTGTACTTGAGTTAGACAAAAACTAGCTTGGCCTGACTTGTCTTGGCTTACTGAAGATTTAACTTGATGCAAAAAGACTTGAAACATGCTTTGGCAATATATAAGTATTGCCACCTGAGTGCATTGGGAGTGTTTTGTAGTTTTGACAACTGTGGCTATGTGGGACAGCAGTTCTGCGAAACTGCTTTGTTCTGATGTGATTAGCAAAAATAGGCCAAACAGCACAGACTTACACTGAGGCAACCATGCTGAAAAATATAGGCTCCCATTGTCTTGAATGCTGTATGTTCACTGTCATGCCCTCTAACACCAAGTCACTGCTGCCATCTGTCGTGTCAGCAAGTTTGCATGCCCCTCGCTCACACCTATGAATCGCTGCTTGGATGATCTCCTTTGTTCCCCTAAACACAACCCGTTCATCACCCTGTCTTTTTCCTTTGTTTATGTCCTCTTAGGCTAAAAGGCCAACCAGCTGACGTCCCGGATGGTTTAGAGAAGAAACCACCATCGCAGCTTGAAGTTACCCCCAGTGGTAAACACATTGACATACACATCACTCCTCCCCATCACTGTGAGAGGACAACATCTCGACTTCCTACGTTACCAGAAGAAGAAACCTCTGACCTTAAGTCCGCTCTTCCTGCTCCAATGGTCAGAGAGGAAGCAGATGGGAAGGACGATGCAGCAGAGGTAAATAAACACATAAACTCTGACAAGCTTTTTGAATCACAGACAGACAAACAAACACTCTTCTTCCTCTCTCCTCCATCCTCCAGGGCCTGGTGAACTCCAGCCAGTCGCTGCTCCAGTGGTGCCAGGAGATCACCAGTGGGTACCGAGGGATAAAGGTCACCAACTTCAGCACGTCCTGGAGAAATGGCCTGGCCTTCTGTGCCATCCTACATCACTTCCATCCAGACAAAATGTATGACACACAAGCAAAACAACCTGACCCTGCACATACCGGACACTATAAGAGTCATTCGTTCACTCTCACTCATTACTATTGGGCAGAACTAAAATTTTGGACATGGCAGTTTGTGCTCTGGGAAATTTTAATTCGTATTTTTCTCTATTTTCTGGTGTTTTATAGACCAAACAATGAACTGATTCATCAAGAAAATAATCAGCATTTTAACTGAAATTGAAAATACCCATTAGTGTTAGCCCTAAATTAATTTTTATGTTGTAAAGCTGCTGTCAGTCTATTCTCATTAGATTCTTTCCTGGTTTTGTCCCATTAGAGATTTTGACAAGTTGGACCCCCACGACATCAAGATCAACAACAAGAAGGTATAAAGATACATTGATAGTTTCTACATAACAGATATTTCTCTTTGTTTTGTTTCTGATGATGTCTTTTTCTCCTGACAACATCAGGCGTTTGACGGTTTCGAGGCGCTTGGCATCTCTCGCCTGTTGGAGCCGTCCGACATGGTCCTCCTGTCCGTCCCCGACAGGCTCATAGTCATGACCTACCTCAGCCAGATCCGCTCACACTTCACCAACCAGGAGCTGAGCGTGCTGCAGATAGAGCACAACAGCAGTCAATCCAGCTACGGCCTCGCCCTCTCTGGTCCTGCTCCCACTAATGTCGACGCTGCTGCTTTCTGCATGGCCAGACTGAATGAAGGAGTGAGCCTAGAGGAAGGAGGGAGCAGCACGCTGGTCGTCCCACCACCGAGGACCAAACGATTGCTTAAAGGTATCAGCCTCTATTCCACCTTTAAACATTTCACTTTTCTGATACTTTTGCTTTTATCTTTTATGTTTTGATTCATCCCGTCCGTTTTGATGGATGATTTTAGCTGACACAGTTTTGTGGACCTTTTAGTGGGTTCATTATAACAAATTGTGAGTCAAACTTACTTAAGATTTCAGTCCAGATTTCAAGGTATCCATGGAGGGTGAAAATAAGAGACAAATACTGTCAGGAAAGCAGAAGAGATGAAAGACGAAACATTAGTGTGTATTCAGGGAACTTTAGAGTGTGAAGTAGCACAGTTTGAGCTGAGGAGACAAGAAGGAAAATCGTAAATAAGTTCACAGCATCTCAGTAAGGATTCCAAGAAACCAAATAAACATGGATGGATCACTGAATGAGCCTACAGGGCACAGGCCCAGGGTCCAGAAGTGTCAAGACCCCCCCTGACATTCACCTGCAAAATTTCACTCAAATGAACATGTACCGACCAGCAATCCTCAAACAGACCACAAAGAGATGCAAAGGAACCACAAAGAGACACAGAATAACTACAGAAAGATGGCAAAACACTGACACAAAACAACCAAACAGACACTAAATTATCCTAAATAGACACATAACAAATAAAAGAACACAAAACAACCACAGGATGACACAAAGTGACTAAAAAACCCATTAAATTATGTCAAAGAGACACAAATCAGCTACCCTGGAAATCCAGAGTTCTCGCAAGAGCACAATTTGAATTTGCTTAGCGAGTCACTCTGGCAATCAGTAATGATGCTCATTACCTATGCCCATGAAACTGATATAGGCGGGCCAGAGACGAGCTAAACAGATGACGACAGCGCTGCGACGACGAAGTCCGGAATCAGTCAGGAAACATTGCAAGATGGCTACGGATGAACACCAGTTGTTTGAAACGGCTTTGGCCGCTACAATGAACGAGTTAGACTTGGCTTTTTCTCTAAAAGAGGAACAGAAGACAGCGCTCAAATCTTTCCTTTGCAATAAGGACGTTTTTGCTGTTTTGCCGACCACATACGGCAAGAGTCTAATCTACCAGTTAGCTCCGCTGGTAGCGCTCTGGATACGCCACCCCGTGTATTGTTCTGATTGGTCGTAGTGTTATCCAATTGTGTGCAGTGATATTTTCAAATGCATGCTTGGTGCCGCCCCTCGAGTTGGGCCATTTTCATTACTCATGGCCAGACCCTAAATCTTTCTAGATTTGGGTCTGGATTTCCAGGCTACAAATCAGCCACAAAGAGACAAAACTGCCCTCAAAGAGACACAAAACGACTTTAAAAAGACCCCAAATTACCACAAAGAGACACAAAAACACAGAGACAAAATGCAAAGAGAGACAAAGCAACTACAGAGAGACGCACAAATTCAAAATGACTGAACATTACCACAAAGAGACAGAAAGAAACAAAACAAAAACACAGAATTACCTCCAAAAGACACAACACGACTACAAAACAGTGCAAACCAACAAAACAACCCACATTCAATTCTCAACAGAACTTTATTTATCCCAAACGAAATTCTTGTGCCAGAGAAGGATTCAAATTGCAGTGACACTAAGTACAGTAACCCAGGGTTCCTACGCAAGAATGGAAAGCATGGAAAAGTATGGAAATAAATTTGATCAATTTCCAGGTATTAAAAAGTATGGAAAATGAAAAATAAAGTATGGAAAAATATTTATGTTTCCAGACTATTACCACTGTTCTAAAATACTGTTTTCTAAAATAGAAAATTAGGTATTTCCAAAAATAATTTAATCAATCCGGATTGTGTTTTATGCCAGGCCAAGCACAGTTTGTGTGAGAGCAAACGTCTCAGAAAACATACCGCCCCTTTTACCTGATTGACAAGTGGTATGTCCAGTCCGCTGCCCCATGACCCTCCTCCAGCCCCCCAGGTATCAAGTTTCACTCCAACACTGCACCTTCGACAAGAAGACGAGTTTCACGTGGTTCACAATGGGTAGATGCAAGTTTTTGGATGGATGGCTTGACAATATCGTATATAAATACTGGTTGGCCAAGGATTCCCAATTCACACACAGAGCTAGATGCAAGCTTTGTATGAAATCGTTTGACATCGCCAACATGGGGAAGAAGGTGATTCTGAGCCACATGAAAGGGAAAAACACTGACGTCTCGTTACTGCATCGCTTGCACCCAGAGTCCCAACCTTTTTGCCTCAGCCCAGACACTGAACTTACCTGAGTTTTTATTTGCATGCCATTATGGTACTTGGCTACAATTGCCTATTAAGAATAATTAAATATGATGTGAAATATGATACACTGATATATTTACTCAGATGTCGCATATTCTCTGAAAAAAAAAAAAAAAAAAAAAACGCTGAGAAGTCTGGAAATTAGGGTATGGAAAAGTATGGAATATTGAAATTCCAAATGTGTAGGAACCCTGGTAACCACAATTTAACGTTCACAACCAAAAACAACCTGACCAAGCAGTGGGTTCTGCGGGTCAGGGTCACTCACTGGGCCCAGTTTAGAAACAATTATTCTAAGTATTAAATGTCTGGCAAAATATACAAATATACAAAATAAGAAACATATTCAAGAAAACAGGAACAGGCAAAACTACAACAAAGTCGGTCTTTTGCTCCTATGTAAGAGAGGTGGTCGGGTCACTGTATGTCTGGGCACAGAGGCTAATTAACTAATAATACACTCATGCAATGATGTCATGCTGAATTTGATAAAAAGGTAAAATTGAAAACTGTAATTGTGTGGGATAATGTGGTTCAATAGGTCAAATCCAGCTTATGATCGTTGTTATCGTCTGTTTTCAGTTGAAGAGTCATTAACCCCGGTCCCACCCCCACGGTCGGTAAACAAATCAGTCAAACCTGGACCTGCTCAGGTAACACTTTGTCTTTTTTTGTTTCTTTTTTACCGTAACTGACTTTCATGTTTAAACTGTAATGTCAGTTTCTAGATTAACATTTAAAGAAATCACTTAGAGTTTGAGAAAAACAGTCTCCTACTCTTTATGTACTGTGTGTGTGTCAGCCTTGTGATCACTGTAGTGTTGTGGAACTGTGTATGATATTTTCACATTTCTCTTATCCAGGATGAAGACACAAAGACAGGAATCACTAGTAGTACAGGTGGGTACCTGAAGCCTAAAGCATACTATACTCTAATACCTCTATACCTACGATACTCTTAACATTGTAAATATGTATTCAACTTCCCATCTCCATTTATTCCTCTTTTTGATTTCTGATTTGTCCCATGTGTGTTTGCAGAGTTGCAGAGTGCAGCTGAGACCCAGCCTCCCAAGCAAGAGGAGGAAACAATGGTCAGTTATGTTTTCCTCATGTGAATATTTCTCTTCTCTACTTCCTGTTTTCCTTATCTGTCATCATCACTCTCAGATCAAATCAAATAAACATCTTTAATATGACTCATGCCTGCAAGAAAGAACAAATCATGTTTGCTTTTACCATGTACAAAAGTCATTTAATTCCAATCCATTCTTTTGGCTGCGCTCTAATCCTCTGACCCTCTTCTTCCTCATGTTTTCTTGTTCTCCCTACTCCTCTTTTCCTTTGATCTCCGTTCCCCCCTTTTTTTCCTCTCTTTGTGGCTGCCTTGTCTTGTGTATGTTCATGTGTGATTGTGTGTGTGTTTGCTTGCATGTGCGTGTGTGATGGGGCTTGTGGTCAGTGTTTGCAGGACACCAGCCAGTACGTGCTGAGTGAGCTGGCAGCGTTGGAGACGGAGCAGAAGCACATCGACAGCAGAGCAGCTGTGGTGGAGAGGCGACTGCGAAGCCTCATGGAAACAGGTGAGTCATACACGCACACAAAATATACATCATCAACAAGCAATAAACAGGAAGTACTCCGGGAGCAGGAGTGAATGGTGTTTTCCACAATAACCCATCTACATCTTTACAAACTACCCTTTGTTTTCGTGTTTATACAGGAAGTGACCGTGATGAAGAGGAGCGACTGATTCAGGAGTGGTTCACTCTGGTGAATAAGAAGAACGCTCTGATACGCAGACAGGACCACCTGGAGCTACTGTAAGACCTCTCTACACACAAACTGTACACACATGTACAAACACACACAGTATACTACACACTTCTCTTTATTTGTCTGATTACTGACTGTGTCCACAGACAAGAGGAGCAGGATCTGGAGAGGAGGTTTGAGCTTCTGACCAGGGAACTTCGTGTCATGATGGCTATAGAAGGTTAGTAACCAACAGTGGTGGAAGAAGCATTCAGATCATGTGCTTAAAGGAGCAGTATGGAGGATGTAGGGGGTCGATAGGCAGAAATGAGATATAATATTCATAATTAAGTTTTCATCAGTGTCTAATCACCTGAATTAAGAATCATTATGTTTTCGTTACCTAAGAATAAGTCCTACATACAGTAGGGAGTGGGTCTTCTTCCACAGAGGTCACAATTAGATTTTAGTAATAACTAGACACTGGATGCCAAGATGGCACCTTTTCAGTTGAGCTGCTTGCCTGGCGCATTCGCCAAAAACTTCTTCTAGTTTCCAGATTCACTTCCATGGTATGCAGCCCACTGAATATGCACAGTAACGTTTCTCACGCTGGCCCTGCCTGCAAGTTCCCACTCAGCCCATAGACTTTATATTGTGATGGTGTCATGGATTTTTTAATCTCTTTTCTCGGCTTGAGGAAAGTTTTACAAATATGAAACCTGCATGTCTCCAAAAATCCAAAATACAAACATTCATAAGTGACCATGTTTGGAGTTTGAGGTTTCCTGTCAACCGTTTCACAGACATCTGTTTTATAATGGTTGCCTGTTAGGAAAATGCCTTTTGGGCTGCAGGGTATTTTCTTTTTTGCTGCAATACCACAAGTGGCCACTGGGGAAAATTTGCTGCAAGGCTGAGCTGCTTTCCTTAGACATGTATAGCTGCAGACACATTCCATCTGTAGAACAAGACAAAGCCACCGTTGCTATGGCTATCTAAACACTGCTACGATGCTACACTGTAATGAATAAATGAGACCAAATGTAGTAATAATACACTTCATAATACATAATACATGAAGATGTGATTCACTTTATGAGAGATATAACCATTCCCATTACCATTATCCTGACCATAACCACCTTCCTTTTAACATAATACTTAAAGGAGCTATATGTAAGAAATATAAAGCAAATAGTTGTAAAATCATCCTAATATGTCACAGAGACTAAGGAATAATGTTCATATAACATACTGATCTCACCGACAACAATAGTACAGCCAGAATATTCGCATTTAAAAAAAAAATTTACAGTCCGCAAATCATGTTTATGTTTTGAATTTGTGTTTTGGCCTGTTGTGCCACCCACCGCCGTCTACCAGTCATGCAGTCAGTAGAGTCTCAACATCACTTAAAGTTACGACTGAGCTACAGCAGCACGGCAAGCAGCATTAGCAGTGTCCCAGTACATAGCATTAGCAGTCTCCTCAGCTGTATCCCAGCAGCAGCGTTAGCAGCAGAGAAGCCGGACTTGCTTGAACAGTCCGCTGGAAAACCGAAGATCAAGGACGCGGTGACGTGGTCCTGCCACGGCAGTAACCGTTTTGGCCACATTCTTACATACAGCGCCTTTAATAGCTAGCTAATTTCTATCTTAGCAATTTTGTCTAGACTTCCGCTTCTGGGCCAAGGAGCAAGGGGGCTGATTGTGGACTGACGTGTAGGTTAAGTTGGGCGAGTCATGTAGCTAGAGGGCAGATCACATAGCTCCTCCAGCTGCAGTATACCTACCCAGCTTTCCTGGAGGCATGAGTCCACCATGGTACACTGCCATGTTTCTACAGTAGCCCAGAATGGACAAACATAACACTGGCTCTAGAGGGCCTTTGGTGTTTCGGAAAGGGAGGGTTGAAGGTAGAGGTATTCAGTTGGTTGTATTCTGCGACCTCACAGCTAGATGGCACTAATTCTGCACACTGCTCCTTTAAGTAAACATACCACAGTGTAACATATATTGGTGTAACTGCATTTTAATGTTGTAGCTGGTTGAGGTGCTGCTAATGTAAACTATTTTACATACTGCTGGTGGGTTTGATCTATGAATCACATCATATTAGTGCTGTCAAAAATATTGCCTTACAGACACAAATCGCTTCTGCATAATTAAAATGGTTTCAGTAGTCATTTTCCGCAGTATCATTACACTGGTACCAGTTACTTTCTTGCGCTCTCTTATTGTTAATTTTTAATACAGTCAGTCTGCTGTTTTCTGCAATTCTATTCTTCTTTTCTATGCCCCTAATGCAGCTTTCCACCATTGGCATGGAAAATGGTATTGAATATCGATATTTTTCAAGGAATTATATGGAGTTTAGAACGTCCAGTATTGTGACATCATATTTAGTGTGATGATTATATGTTTCCTATGAAAAATGTATAGCTGTCAAATATATGTAGCGGACTGAAAAATACATTATTTACCCCAGAAATGTGAAGAAGCAGAACTATAAAGCAAAAAATAGAAAAACCTCAAGTTAAGTACAAGTCAGTCAATATTTATGTAGCATCTTTCATACATGTACAATACAAAATGACTTGCATGTGACTGACAAGCTGGTGAATAAAACCAATAAGGTAGATTTAAAAAAATAAAGACATTTAATTAATGCATTTAGTTAGATTCCAACAGTGGTAACCAATTAGCTCTTCTATCTGCTGTTTGCCAGCAGCACTAGAAGAAGAGCTGGATGTTAAGTCTTTTGCTCAACAGCGCTTTATTATTCAGTAAAGGTTTAAGACAGTTTCAACTTTCAGTTAATACAGGAAAAAAGGTTGAACTGTACATGATTATATTCAACGTACATACATATACATAAAGTTGTGTTGTTTGTCCTGCAGACTGGCAGAAGTCGTCCACTCAGCAGCAGAGGGAGCAGCTGCTCCTCCAAGAGCTGGTGTCTTTGGTCAACCAGCGGGACGAGATCATCAGAGACATCGATGCCAAGGAGAGAGGGTAAGGGAATGTAGCTGTGTGGAAAAGACAAAACAAGTCACAAGGAGGTAGTAAATCCCTAAAATAAAAGAGGGAACATTGAAAAACATTTGATTGCCATGTTTCTAATTACACCTTCAAGTCAGTGCTTGTAATGTTGACCTGTAGTTCAGTAGTATGTCTTATTTCTATTCTGTATTTGCAAGCAGTCTATTGATACCGGTCTGGGTATAAACGGCCAAGAGTTAATGTCATATGCACTATATTGTAATATTTGTTTTGTGTGTGCAGGGCTCTGGAGGAGGATGAGCGTCTGGAGCGCGGTCTGGAGATGAGGAGGCGAAAATATAGCAACAAAGACAAATGTGTCCTTCAGTGAGAAGAGAGGTCACTCACAAAAAGCTTTTACAACTGCGACCCCGAAGTCCCAGAAGATGAATCTTGGTCATAATTTTCACATACGAGATTAAAACAGGACTTCGGGCCTCCGTATTTCCCTGTTTTTTTTATTATAGTGCCTTTATTTTCTTGGAGAACTGTTATAAACCATTATGAGGAAGATATATGGGCTGATAAATTAATGTCTGGTTTTGTCAAAGTCTCATTATTTTCTGTTTGTCTTAAATATTATTTTGATTCTGTTCACATATTTTTATTTATTTAAAGAATGCGTCAGAATGTTGTACATCTATTGCACATGTGTGTTGTGTGTTTGTGTGTGTATTCATCTGTGAGTTTGTTCACCATTTGAACACTGACTTCTCTTCTGCTTTCCCCCTCAACACATTGAGAGCTTGTCAGAATCTGTTGGCTCAAAACCAAAATGTGCCTTTCTGTTTTTTCTGGTGATTCTTGTCTTACGTTTCTGTTTTAGATATTTCCACCCTGACAGTAAAAAAATATATTTGGTTGTAACATGCCAAGACATGTTAGATATAAAAACAACAAGTCATGAGCTGGACTCAAACTCACATTATTGATAATACAGGGTACATGTTTTCACCTTGAGAATGACCCCAGCGTCAAATTTTTATAAAGCATTTCCACTTCCTGCAATATTGATTTTCTTTTTTTGGACATTAGATGTTGAAAGTGTTCTCAAACCTTGTGTGCACACAGACCCTAAATGCCTTAAATCACCCATAAAGTGTATGGTTGTGATGCTTGATTCACAGAAATGAACCTGTTTGCCCACTCCTGTGTCCTTTGACTACTGTATGCATGCTGTTTGAGGTGTGCTGATAAAGTGGTACTCTGCTGCACATCACTACTGTATACCTAGCACACACTGTATACCTGAAGTTGCTGTCTATATTTATGAGGTGAAGATATGATTAATGATATTGATAAATATGTTGAATAAACATAAATATTGGTTGGTTGCTTACATCTTTGGATGTGGTATCTTTTGTTTTTTAGCTTTGGACCCAACATGAACCTGTGAGATATAATGCAATCTGATACAGTGTTACTGCAACAAACATGTCTGTGAAGCTTCAGACTATAGTGTTAATAGTTGCTGTCATTTTGAGGCTGTAATTTATAGTATTTTGCGCTACATTGCAGTTTTAGTTCTAAGTGAAAAGGATGGTGACCCTGAGAGCTCAGCACACTGCAGATAGACACAACACAAGCAAGTGACGTCTTTTTGCAATGTGTTGAGCTCTCAGGGCTACCATCAAAAAGTTAGTAAAACAAAAATAAAACAAGTAAAACATTAAATCACATGACATTTAATACACCAGTTTTTTGGTAAAGATAGACTGTTTTCAAAAGCCAACTCAAGATTCATTCTGGTTTGGTGTTTCACTTTGCTGTATTTGCATTAGTTCAGCGCTATGTCTGTTGGATGAGTCTTGCACCTGGTCGCTACCTTTTAATAAAACCAGGATTTCACCTGCACACTGTGGGGGTGCACACTTAAAAACATCCCTAGCACAGAAAATAAGATGAGAACAAGAAAATACAGGCAGAGGGCCGAGTCTCTGCAGAAAAAATGCACCACCGCACTCTTCTAGTGGGTTGAGTGATGATTGACAGGGATTACTTCTGTTTGAGTCTATGCATTGTTTTAAGGAAAATCCTACATAGTATATCTTTAAGCTATCAATGCATTTGAAAAAAAAAAGTAAAGGTAGGTTCCCAACTCAGGATAAACTTGCCCAGTGGAAAACATATGAGTAGAAAAATTTTAGTTTTAGACCTTGAGAGAGTGAGGACATTTTGACTGGTCCTCACCTTAAGACGGACCTTCAAAGGCCTGCTCGAGGGTTCAGACTTGGTTTTGAGGTAAAGGTTAGGATTAGAGTTCAGGTTTAGGTTAGAGTTACGGGGTGATAACCCAGATCACTAACTGTTGATCACGAACAGTAAGTGGTAGAATCACCAAAGTGGGTGTGCATGATGGTCTCTTCGCACTGCCCATGTGTGCCGCGTTTGGGACCTCCCTTTGGTACAGTTGGCATAGACTGCCACTCAATTAATGTCTGCATATTGTTTTCAGTATTAACAGTTGTCATATCTTCAGAAAGGGAAGATTGCAGCAGCCTGAGACAAAGACTGGTGTGTTCAGCATCCTTGAAACCCTCTTCCCAAGGAGCTTGTGTCCAAAATGATATGACCTTCAGAAAAAAGTTCCAAACTAAAAAATTTAAATCATATGTTCAAGCCCATTCATCAGTCATATCTCCAGAGGGGAAGGTCTCAGCAACTCAGGCTCAAGACTAGTGTGTTCAATGTCCTGGAAAAGCCTTTCGGCACATGTTAAGGGGTTAGGATTAGGCATTTAGTTGTACTGAGGTGTGGGGGTAAGAAATACATTATGTCAGTTGGGTCCTCACAAAAGTGTGTGTGTGTTTACATGCACACCTGTGTATGTCTCCTCCCAGCAGAGCATTAGAGCTAATCAGCTTGACTCTACAGCACAGAGCTCAGTGGGATCTACTAATCTGAAATGACAGAAAGAACCAAACCAATGTGTCGGCTGTAGCTCACCTGAGGAACCTCCGGAAGCTCTGACGGCAAACCCGGTTCTGTCATGCTGGAACCAGAACATGGCCCTATGATGCAGGTGGAGCACACCCATACAAGATGTTTGGTGTGTGTGCTGAGCTGCCTTCTGCTCGCCTGTCTGTATGTTGGCAGTCTGTACGTCTGGAGAAGCAGCTTACCCAGGTATACAACTCAGCAGCAGACCTGTGACGGTGCTGTTCGAGAGGACTATAAACTGTAGCTGTGTGTGTGTGTGTGTGTGTGTGTGTGTGTGTGTGTGTGCGCGCAGGGATCATCCCAGTATAATAAAGCGTCGCTGTGCCAGTGTGCTGCTGGTTCCGCACTGTCACCTGCAGTGGTGAAGGCATGGATGCACTGGGCTGATGTCAGGGTGAGTACACATGAACAAAACATGCTGTTCTCTGAATCTGGCACAGTTTACTGCATCAAACAATGTCCTAACAAACCACTGAGAATTAAAGTCTTTCTCATTAAACACTGATGTAGCTCAGGGTGTAGAACAGGTTGTCCACTAAAGGGAAGATCGTTGGTTCGATCCCCGGCTCTTCCACTCCACATATCAAAGTATTCCAGGACAAGATACTGAACTGCAAATTGCATCAGTGTATGAAAGAAATGTGCAGCTTTAGTCACTAGTTACCTTATACATGAGGATTTTACACACAATATAATGAGGATAGATAAAATTATAGACACAACTCTCTGTATAATGCAGCAGTTGAACAGCAGCACAAACTACATCCTCCAAAGTTAGAAAGTTGAATCAACACCTCTCTCTAAAATAGTTTCAGCAAAATCTGACCAGGGTAGGATTTATTACAGGACTTAAGCTAGATGAACCAAGTGTACTATATGAACTGTGAACATCCATTTCACGGGGAGGTCAAAGGTCAGTGTCAGTCAAGCTGAAAAGGATTCAGTGTCTTCCTCGAGGACACTTCACCGAGGGTTATGTCCAGGTGAAGGACAGTATCCTCACTCCTGGGGCCATCTTACCATATGTAAGGTGTTTTGTCAGGTTAAGCTGGGGTCACACTGCTCAACTTTGTAATCGCTTTAGGGTAAAAACTATGTTTATAAAGCTACGATCTGTCCTTCCAGGCCGATGCATCTGTGTGGGAGCTGATGGGAGTTCGTTTGGAGGGTCTGGTTCCTGCAGCCGTACTGCCACTACTCCTAACCATGGTACATCAGGGAGTCCCAACCCAAATTCAACTTTAAAGAAAAGATGTTACAACATTATTTACTTTGTTGAGCACCTGCTATTTACACTTGACTTTGTAATAGGTATCACAGGACTTACAAAGAACTGAATAAATGGTTATACATCCAGTGTAAAACTATTTACTAGGCTCCTATATTTTTGTCTTAACCTGTTAGACCTGAGGTCAGCCTGAGAACCTATTGGGCGGCTTCAAAAACTACTCTGTGGATCCCATTCCCCCCTTAGGACATGTTATTTAAGCTGCATTAGAGTAGTTGCGACAGTTCAGGGATTCATTTTCCATTACCAGTACGATGTAGCGTGGCTTTACAATCTCCATTAAATTTCTATGTGCATGTTTAAATCACATACAGAAAAGAGGCTTTAATCTTTTTTTATGTATACTTCTGCTGGATGTAATGAGCAATTGATTCTATTCTAAACATCAGGTATTTTATCTTGGTCCCATGGTTCATTCTGCAATAGACAACCCTCAAGGCTTCACTGGAGAGCTGCAGTCTGCTCTCGGTGAGTTACACTTTGTGTCTTGTTAGGTCAGAAGCTAAACTGGGGTTGGTGAGTTTTACATGTGTGCCTGCATTTATTTGATGTGTATGTCATCATATAGACTTTATTTTCACAGATGCTCAGTCGTGGAGGTTGTGTGTGGGAGATGCAGTGTGGCTCAGGAACCAGGTGGTGGCACCAGTGACGGAGGAGCTGGTGTTTAGAGGGGCCATGCTGCCCATGCTGGTGCCCTGCACGGGACCGACAGCCGCCATCTTCACGGCTCCGCTGTTCTTCGGTGTTGGTATAGCAACCACATATTCAGGCTGTCATATTTACAAACACCATTTGGACTACGGTGACATTTTTATGATAGATTAATGAATGGTAAAATACATTAGATGTGTACATCAGTATATTTTAGCAAATGCTACATTATTTTTAGCCTTTGACCGCAATGCATGGCTACTGTGTCGTTTTAGCCCATTTCCATCATATCATAGAGCAGCGACGCCTCCGTAAGGACAATATGAGTGCCATCCTCATGGTGTCAGGTCAGTTGGCTTACAAAACTCTGATTGAATAAAATTAATTGTAATGATTAAAGCAAATTAATTTAGATGAATGTCACGATACATGTGTAATTTTGGGAATCAGCATTGTAAACTACCTTTTAGGACATTACACAACTGAATGAGTTAGCTTTGCAAGATTATATGGAATCATCAGAAATAAGTTAAATCTAATTATATTGATTTTACCAACACCTTCTCACTCTCAGCTCATCAAATACTGCAGCTTGGTCAGTGGCCCTACGCTTCTAACTTCGATGCTGTAGGTATCCCTGTAGGATCAGTTTGGACCTGTCTGTTTCTGCTCTTTACATACACAGTAAACATAGGTTTCGATGCCAAAACTACTTTAGGTTTATGCAACAAAACTTCTCCAGGTTTAGGCAACAAAACTTCTTTAGTTTTAGGCAACAAAATCACTTTAGGTTAAGGCAACAAAACTTCTTTAGGTTTAGACAACAAAACTTCTTTAGGTTTAGACAAAATTTCTTAAGGTTCAGGCAACAAAATCACTTTAGGTTTAGGCAACAAAACGCTTTTTAGGTTAAGGCAAAAAAAACTTCTTTAGGTTAAGGCAACAAAATCTTTTTGGTTAAGGCAACAGAAGGACTTGGTTAGGTTTACGAAAATATGCTGGTTTGATTTAAAATGATGTTGACTTTCAGTTTTTATATGGGACATGATCAGTAGTCTCCTAGGTGAAAATCCTGTATTTGTTTAACTCATCCATCGACCACTACAGCCTCCTCTCTACATGGACTTTATCGCTTTTTGTCAGTTGCCCTGATCATCTAATATTGCTGCAGATGGGTTTACATTAGAGTTAGTTGAAAGCCCGGTGCGTGTCATGTGCCAATGGGTGCCTCATGCGTTGATATCAGACTCCAAGGGCTGCTGACCAAGCTGCCATGTTTGACGACCTGAGAATGAGAACTGATTTTGCAGAGGAAGGTTGTTGCTTTGACACTTTTCATGGAAATTCTTTTTTTCTTTGTGCTGTTCTGTTGCAGGGATGCAGTTCTTGTATACAACTGTGTTTGGTGCCTTCACTGCCTTTATATTCATGAGAACTGGTGAGAGATAAACAGCACA